CTAAACCATGATTATTACACTAATTAATAAAACCGAAATTCATTTAAGTTATTAACCACTCTTCACCTATAACCGATCATAATTCTTTCATAAATTTGGAATTACACCACAAACTAAAATAGCATCTTTTTGACGTAAACGACACACTTCGTATAGCAACTCTATTGTTATCACAGATTCAGTCAACTAAAATTCAACAAATTTCATATCATTAATTCTTTACTCTTTGGATTAGATAAATTATAAGAACTTACAAAGAACTCTTTATCATCTGAATACCTTTTTCATGTATATTGTTAAATATGACAGATTATCATGTCAAATAACATAAAAAAGCTTGATAACCACTATGAATATTATATAAACCACATAATGATTCTCATGTCAAATTACATTCGAAAAACAATTCCTCTTTTATTAGATATAAAATTAACCAAATAATAGTAATCTTACTAACACTATCTCAAAATTTATTTCAATCTTTTAAATGAAACATATTCAAAACTTCATATTAATTACTCTACAATGTAAATAAAAATAATATCTTTTTAAAATTAACAAACTTGTACAATAAATTTGAAGATTCACAAACGTATATTCCTTTTTAACAACATTCTAATTGTTTGAGTTATTTTATAGTAACTACCTAAATATTTTATCTCAGCTAACCAAATATGATTATCTATTAAATAGAAAATATTATTGTCAGAATATTATCACAGCTTCTGAATAACCTACAGTTGCACAAGTGTTTTTTAAAGCCAGATATTCAAAGTATTTTTTTGAGTTTTCCATAAAATCTACAACAATAAAATCTAAAAATACAACAAAAAATCTATAAGCTTTTTTTACAGTAAAAACATTAAAACTACAGTCATCACTAATCAGACCCATATATATATATATAAACAATTGATTCAACTATCCCAAAGATACCATTAATAAAATTACTTCATATAAATAACAAGTGTTTGTGTATAAATACTACAATATGTAACACCTGAAAATGCACAAACAGTATACTATCAAAAACTATCAAAAATATTTGATCTATATAATTGTAGAACAAACACCCGCGCGGGCGCGCGGGTCAAACTCTAGTTNATAAACAATTGATTCAACTATCCCAAAGATACCATTAATAAAATTACTTCATATAAATAACAAGTGTTTGTGTATAAATACTACAATATGTAACACCTGAAAATGCACAAACAGTATACTATCAAAAACTATCAAAAATATTTGATCTATATAATTGTAGAACAAACACCCGCGCGGGCGCGCGGGTCAAACTCTAGTTAGAACATTACATTTGTTCCTTTGGATTTACATTTATTCCTTAGGAATTATCAAGAGTTGAATATTACTTTTCTGAACGTGCTGGATTTTCACAAAATGGTTTAATCCACCTCTTATGTTTAGCTAAATGCAATATTCTCCCCGACTGTTTCGGTATATATTGCATGATTTGCGCTAGCATTTGATACGAGATCTCACAGAAAGATTCTCACGAGAGCTCATAAAAAGCTCACACCAGAAACCACTGGTGGTAGAATGGACTTCCACGGCGGGTCTGCGGGAAAATTCAGCGAAAATAAGCCACGAAATAACGGACGGCTTAACCACGACTACGTGACCTACAAGGAAGCTGAGATTAGATCTCTAACCCGTGGTTTGGCAGAAGCCACGAAAATGAAGAAAAAAATTGCTCTCCTAAAGGATGATGCGCAAACCATGAGAGGAAGACTCATCAGGTCTAGCAATCTTGTTATGCTGGATTATGGCACATATCTCGAATCATCTTCTTATAAGATTATAAAGGAGCCAGAAGCCACAAGAGATTTGTATCTTCTTCATCAAGTTAATGAAGCTAAGAAAGCAGAATCAGGGGTTGCAATTTACGCTAAGAAAGATAATCTCTTGCTTAGGACTGATCAGGGACAACTACCAGACGACTGCATGACCCTCATGGGGAGAAAAACTATTCATCCTCTTGATAAAGTCAAGTCAGCAGCGATAGAGAAAGAGACTTGTGTGATCTGTTTCGACGAAGACATTGATTCTGATGATCTCATGTTTTCTGTTGATAGTAGATGCGGTCATCGGTTTTGTGTTAACTGTGTGACACAACATTTAGTGGTGACGCTGCTTGATGGAACCTTACCGAATTGCCTTCAACATGGCTGCATGACTCAGCTGTCTGTTTATAGATGCGGAAAGCTTTTGACTCCTGACATGAGTTTGAGGTGGAAAGAGATGGCTGAAGAGAACTCAATTCCTTACAACGAGAGAGTTTATTGTCCTTACGAAAACTGCTCTTACCTAATGTCTAAAAAAAAGCTTGTTTTAGCTTCTGCATGTGGACATAGGAAATGCTTGAAATGTGGTGGCTCCTTCTGCTTCTACTGCAAGGCTCCATGGCATGGTATGCTATCGTGCAACGAGAACAAGAAGTTGCATCCTAATACTCAAAATGCAAAGCTCATCTCTTTGGCAAATCGTAATGGATGGCGTCAATGCGGCAAATGCAACCACATGGTTGAACGTTCTGACGGATGCAGGCACATGACTTGTAGGTAATTATTCTAGACACTATCCTCCATGCAACAAGACCATTCTCTTTTTTTAGAATTTGGTTATTTTGGGTATATATATAAAGTTGCCTTTCATTATACGGAATATCATTCTTCTTTTATGTAACTTTTTAGGTGTGGGAATTGTTTTTGCTATGACTGTGGAGTTGGCCTGAATATCTCATTGGTCCATAGATGTCTCATTTCTCGGGACGATTACGTTGCGCAGCCAAGGTTTATGTTGGACAGTGACGCGATTAATGTACTTCTAGATATTTTAGCTGTTTCCATATACTACTTCTTATGCTTCATTTTCTTTGGTTTCATAATGTATAATGTTTTGGGTTAAACACAATGATTGAGAAAATTCACTTCTCTCTTGAAACTTAAAAGAACTTTTAAATATAAATTAGAAATAGTTAAACCAATTATAAATAAAGGATTGAAAAGCCATGGTTAAGCAGTTTTTTAGTAAAACTAAAGTTAACATAGATTTGTTAAAACATCTTAAATTTTGAAACAGGAAAAAAACTTTGAAAACATCATATATTATGGAATGGGGATAGGATAAAGTTTTCTTGTTTGTATGTACTTCATATTGAGGTCAAATATCTCATGTTTTGCTCAACCAGACATCAGTTTTCGAGTTTATTAAAAATTCAGAGAGTATTGATGATGCTAAAAACGTTTACCTGTTTAGGGCTGCACCCACCCCTGTATTCATCCAAAGAGTGATGAGTTTTTTCTCTCTTAATAATGTGAGAAAATTAATATGTTTTCATTTATTTTGTTTATACTGTTTTTAATTCACTTAGATATCCATTATGACTTTTTGCGTGATCATTGACATTAGGCCTGGGCAAAAAAACCGGAACCGAAAAACCGAACCGGAACCGAACCGAAACACCCGAAATCGAAACCAGACCGAAATTCTAAAATATCCGAATAGTTCGTATATTTCTATACCCGAAAAACCGAACCGGAACCGGAACCGAACCGAGAACCAAACGGGTACCCGAATATCCGAAAAAACAAGTTAAATTTTTTTAAAATAAGATAAAATGACATCAAGCACACTTAAACCCATGTTAAATACAAAGAGTAAGTACATTTTACCGCCAGACCACGTTATGTTTTATTTATTCTGTTATATTATAAATATATATGGTATTTCTATATTAAAATATGATAACTATTTATAAAATTAACATTTTATTGATTCAAACTCTTGTTGGATTGACGAATATGTAAGAGTGTAAACACTATTCCATTTAAATTAACAGATTAATTAATATATTTTGTATATATATTTGATTTATATATTAAATGGGTAACCGGAACCAAACCGAAACCGAACTAGAACCGAACCGAAACCGAAACGAAATCTCCTAAGTATCTATTGGATATAAGAATGATTTATCCGATATACCCGGAACCGAATGGTTCATATCCGGAACCGAACTGAATATTCGAATGCCTAGGCCTAATTGACATTGTAAAATCAGACTTCAACTGAACTTCCAGAGGGGAATATATACGAGAGAGTTTATCGTAGTGCACATGTTCTTATGACTTCATATGTCACATTCGTATAGGAAACTATACGATCTTTATGCTTTGTCCCACTCACACGAGGTATTCTTGGGTTCTATCCCTAGAGTGAATCTCTAATTCACCAAACAATAGAATGATATTATTCCATATTTAATATCATTTAAAAAAATCCTATTAAATTATTTTATGTTTTTAAAATAAAAATTCAAAAAATAATAAAAATAATAATAGTTACAAAATAACTTTTTTTAAAAAATATTTAACCAGTAACCAATTAATGAAATCTGGTTCATGTATCCCCACTTAATAGGCGAGATCATAGAAACTTAAATTCAAAGATGCAAAACTTTATTCTCTGTATATATGTTTGACTATCTCTGTGTTTATAAACAAATCATCAATCATAAATAGTTAGTATTTTGAATATCTCAAGGCCTTGGTTTCAAAGCATAGAGTTTCATCTCTAGCTGGATTGTAATATGTATTGCTTAGGACAGTCAAAACCTTTGTGTATGTCCTAAATTATAATTATAAGTTTTCAGACCTCTTTCACCTTATTAGCGTAATTTCTCTGGAGGTTCTTCTTTAGCTCTTGAATAATTTTGACGGTTTTAGCAATAAAGAAGATGTTGGGAGGCAACAATGAGAACCCTTTACCGCAGGATAGCCAAGTTTCAGTACCAATGAAACACTTCCCTGAATCAGTTTCACTTACTTGGAACCAGTAAGTTTCTTAATTTTCTTTTTTTTCTTGTGCGTTGAACTTTATAATAAAGCTAAAAAGCCTTTTTCCATTTGTATGTGGTTACATTGAACATTGGTTGCACTATTGATCCTGTAAACTACTTTTCTAATGATAACCTTGCTCTGATGACTCGGAATAATAGTAAACACCCTAGGGAAACCGAGATCGTACAGAGACCGCAGAAGCCGCAGATCTCTTTGAACTATAACTACAACAACAATCGTGTTGTTCATGATGAGGCCCCAAAACATAACTTAGTGTCAACTGGTCTGAGACTATCTTATTCTTATGGCAATGATGAGAGAAACTCTTCTGTAAATTCTGCAAATGGAAGCATCACAACTCCTATGTTTCAGTCACTCGGTGACAGTATCAGATTGGACTTTAATAGACAGAAAAACGAGCTTGATCAGTATATCAAATTCAGGGTACTAATTCTATCTGCAAAGCATTATGTTATTTCTTATATATATTTACTCCAATCTTCTTCTTTGGAAACATGAGGATCAACTGGCGAAGTGTGTGAGAGATATAAAACAGAGACATGTCATCAGATCTTTTAATTTGCTGCGGCCTTAGCGAAGGATGTGTGGAAGAAGCTTCAAGAGAAAGACCAAGAGATTCAAAATATGAACAAGAAAAACCGAGAACTCGCAGAGAAGATAAAATAAATGGCGGTGGAATCTCAGAACTGGCATTACAGGGCAACGTACAATGAATCTGTGGTTAATGCCTTGAAGGTAAATCTGCAACAAGTGATGTTGTCGCATGGAAATAACAACATTGCATGAGGTTTATTAGCTGATCATCATCAAGTGGAGGAAGGGTACGGGGATAGCAAGATTTATGATGAGGCAGTTTCATATAACTACATGAACATCCAAGGGATGCCAAGTGGTGGGATGAGATGCAAGTCGTGTAACGTAAAGGAGGTTGCAGTCTTGCTTGTGCCTTGTAGGCACTTGAGTTTGTGTAAAGACTGTGATGTGTTCACTGGTGTTTGTCCGCTTTGTCAGTCTTTGAAAACTTCTAGCATTCAGGTCTTTATCTCATGAGAAGAATCTAAGAAAATAGAGTCTGTCTTCATACTTTGGGAAAACCTAATCGTGGAGAAAGATGAACATATTTTGTATGTGGCGATTATGATGAAATCTTTGCTTTTTGCCACTGAAACCATAGTGTACATGACTGATAACACTGCAATTTAGTAAATTCAATGAGCAAGAGATACAAACTGAGTACAAGTGCGACATATCATAAACACTGTGGATTTATTAGTTTCAGTGCTGAGAGAAATGAAACCCTAATCGATTTTTTCTGCTATTTCTTTCCTTTGAGAAACTTGAATTTTACAGTAGATAATAATATACATGGTTTCTGTTATCAAGAGGTGATATCACAAACTTACAGAAATATATTATTTATATACATATAATTATATTTTTTGTTTACATAATAGTTTGCAAAGAAATATTTAGTGTACATAATATCATTATTTTATAAAATACTAAAATAAATTGGGTTGGTTTTCAACTTTCACAAATAAAAAGTATCATTTGTAAACTTAGAAAAGAATATATCATGAATATTCTTTTTCAGGAGAGAAAATAGAAAAATACATCGGAGATAAGTCCATTTTTATTATGAAATTCCTCTGTTTTAGAAAAAAAAATAGAAAAATACATTGGAGATGGTCTAAGGTGTGGCCAACATAAATGATCGACGTTGAGATTTCAGCTTTTCTGATTCTTACTATCCTAATTTTTCAAAATAATTTGAATATTCTATTTGCTTTGTAATATAATGGTTTAAAAGTATTTTTTCAATATATAAATTGTTTTTATATTTCAATGTAACTTTATACTTATTGGACATTGTGTGGCGAATTAAATTACGTGTGATTGATTAAATTTTTATACTAAATGACAGTTTTCTAAAGTAATAATTTTTAAATATTACAGATTTTAAATAAAACTGATTACATTATGAAACAGATGAAGTAATCTATAAAACTGATTACATTTTTCATGCATGAATTAGGAAATGCAAGTAAATTATTTGAAGCTGGATTTGAGCTTCCAATTAGGAAACGGGTAAATAACTATTTCAACCTACGGTGGATTAAGGTGATCAAGATTTGTCTTTCCTTAAAATATGATCATTGACATGAATCTTGGTTTATGAATGTTGATCAAAACTAAACATTTGTAAACTCGATATTAACATTTAGTTAACTACACCCATACAAATGTAAAATTCACACAAATTTCTAGTATTCTATTTATAATGATTATCACATTTAAATGTATAGATTATTACATTTAAAACTTCACACAAATTTCTGTATAGTTTAATATTATGCAATATTATTAGATTTTGATATTTGGGGTTAAGGTTTTTATTTGGATTAGGGTTTAGTATTTAGAAAATGGAGGATGAGATTGGGGTGAGCATAAAGTTCTTCATATAATCATAGAAAATTCATAATTTTACCAAACTATAATCTATCTCCGGATAAATTCATTAATCTGTTTGATTAAGGATTTCGGTAATTCAAAAAGAATCAAACAGAAAAAGGAAACTAGAGTCTCCATGGAGGATAATTAAGGAGGTCATTAATGGATATATATCTGAATAATCTCTTGTTCTAATCTATTCCAAAGTCCCAAGCTCCCAGCATCTTATAGAACACATATGACGGTTTATACTTTATACACATAAACATCAGAATTTCGTAGTTCCATCATAAGAAAAATTACTAATAAAAAGTAAAGACATAACGTTACTAATTCATTAAACTATTTGGTTAAGGATTTCGGTTGTTCAAAAAACACAAAGAAAAAGGAAACTAGAGGCTCCATGTAGGATAATTAAGGAGATCATAAATGGAAATATGTAAGTAAAACCTAAATAACTACCGAAAAGAGAAAGTCCAAGCCAGATATGAATAGGTTAATACGCTATGTAGGTCTCACTAGTATAAATACAGATCACTACATGCCCTCCCTCCTCAACATATCTAATCCAACAACCACTCTCAAAATCTCTCAAACGTAAGATTATATCACAGGAAACTATTAGTTCTTGTACAAATTAATTGTCGATGAGGACCCATAATAATCCCTTCTCGTTGCCGACCTTGTACGAAGCTTTAGAACGTCTCCGTCTCTCAGAAGAAACCTCAGCTGGTTCTATTCCTCCTCCTCCTCCTCCTCCTGCTATCTTCCCACGTGCCTCCGCATCAGACGCGCACTTCATCAAACTATTCAACCTAATGACTAACGAGCAATATGTGTCCGAGTTTAGAGAGATTATCTCAAAGACAACTAGCCGAGAACATCTTCTGAAGATTGTTTCGTTGCTGACGTCAGACTCCGATTATTTCTTGGAGATTGTCAGAAACATGTACGGTTCGATACACGTGCAAAAGCTCCTCGGAATGTCTGATGACGTGGATGCGTTATTATACGCCGTTATCTTGCACCGGTTATCCGACATCATGACCGACAAGTACGCATCCTACGTGGCCATTCGAGCTATGCTAGTTTTCGACACGATGGAGAAATTTATAATGTACGATCACCTACTCTACTACGCACCCGACATAGCGCGTGATCAGTACGGATGCATCGCCCTCAACGTGGTTATAACCGATGTGGATGATTCTCACTACAGAAAGCTTCTACTAGACTTCGTGTCACGCAACGCTCTCTCCCTAAGTAACCATCCTTCAGGGAACTTTGTGGTTCAACCAGTGCCGTCTTAACCCAGATAACAGCCCTAGGCGAGACAGAAAATATGGACCTTTTTATAAAAAAAAAATTTTTTCCCTGTATTTCTTTTCATTTGTGCTATAAGATCTGAAACAAATAGAAAAAATCAACTCTTTAAAAAAATGTAAAAAACAATCACATGAAATTGTTTTAGTCTAGCTTTAGTTAATAGTGATAAGAGTACAAATTTCTTATTGTTTTGTGTTTTAATAAGTAAATTAAATTTAATTATTTATAAATCTTTTTGATAATTTAACAGATTAAAATAGACCTATAAATCAACAAAAAAATTATTATGGACCCATGGACCCATGGCAAATGCCCATGTTGCCATGGGTAAGAGCCGGCTCTGGGTTCAACACGTGCTTAAGCTGTGTGACTCGCGTTGTACTCACAACATAGCAGTTAGTCTTCTTGGCCATTGCGTTGATCTGTCGTTTAAGAAGTATGGAAGCTACATCGTGGAGAAGCTTCTAGATGCTGAGGAGTCGATGGATGTGGTGGTGATGGAGCTTTTGGAGTGCGACGAAGACAGGTTGATGAGGCTGGCGAGGAATGGGTTTGGGAATTTCGTGGTGTTCAAGGCACTCAGAGTCACGCAGGAGATTGATAGGATCGATCTGTTTAGGTGTTTGGTGCAGAAGCTGATGCCTCTTCGCCACCTTTTGGTTAAGTCTCACGGAAGCAACATTGCAAAACTCTTGGAGTCATATTCTATAACCCTACAAGATACTGAAACTAGACGTGTTTGATTGTTTTATATGGTTGATTAATGAAAATCTTGTTGAAAGAATTTTTTATTTATTTTATTTTAAACAGTTGTTAAAGAAGTTTATCATTCATGTTTTTTATAAGGAACCAAATATAATTTAACATTGCCATTTAATCGACGACATTATTCTGATCACAAGTTTTCCGTTTGGTTTAAGCTTTGAGATCCGAACAATGCTATATGTTTTGCAAAATCTTAAAGATGATTGCGTACTCCAACTGTGATACGCCTTAGCTGATACATAATATAATATTTGGACTGGTTGTAACATTCACACTAATAAAATATATGCATCAGTCATCTACAAGTTAACAGTTGCCCATAGGCTTGGGCGTTTGGTGGTCCAATAGGTTTCGGTTCGGTTGATGCGGATTTTCGGATTTTCGGTACTGTGCTCATAAGTACCATTCGGTTTTTGCTAATAATTGGATTGAGTTCGGTTCCTTCCGTATTCAGTTCGGATCGGATTATAACCAATGTCTGAAATCGTCCAAAAATATATTTTTTTTAAACCTAAAAAATTGACAAAATAGTATTCAAAATATGTAAATTATTCACAAGTATAATTAAAAATTAGTTAAAATATCTAAATTAGCTAAGATATATTCAAAATAACATATAACATAGACTATGAAAATATTTAGAATATTATAAAGGAATTGCTTGGAATGACCCAAATTGATCTTAAAATGACTATAATGACTCATATAAAATTTTAAATACTAGACCCTATTTTGTAACAAGCAAATGGACTAAAATACCCTTTTAATGTGTGCAATCCAAAAAAAAAGTTTATGAAAAAAAAACATTAAACATAAAAGAGAAAATAAATTAGATTCAACATAAAAGAGAAACATAAAATTGTTTCTCAGGTCTCTCTCTCTTTCTCGCACGACAACGACGATTTCGAAGGGGGGGATTCTTCGATCGAGTCTCGTCGTCGTTCCTCTCTCACTCCGACACCATCGCCTCTGTCAGAAGTCCATCTCGTCGTCTTTGTCTCTTACGTCACATCTTGCCACATACCAGAATGATGTGATCCGTTGTTCTGTAAACAGAAAGAATGGAAGAAAGTGTTCAAACCACCATGAAAGGAACAACTTGAGAAAGAAGAAAAGAGGGGTGAAAGAGATGACGACAGTTACTAAAAAAATAATTAGCCCTAATTGTGGTCTTAAACCACTAGAAATAAACCAAAATCGAATTAATTAGAGTAAACCGGGATTAAATCCGAATTTAATTTCTACTGGTTTACTAAAACCCAGAATAATTAAACAAATCTGTCACTACGTAAAATAACAAGTCGGCCACGTCGTAATGCAACAAGTCTACAGCATTTGTAAATCTGTGATAGATTTGCCTTAAGTCTACCGTAGGAAGAATAGATTTTCTATACAAATCGGTCATAACNTACTAAAACCCAGAATAATTAAACAAATCTGTCACTACGTAAAATAACAAGTCGGCCACGTCGTAATGCAACAAGTCTACAGCATTTGTAAATCTGTGATAGATTTGCCTTAAGTCTACCGTAGGAAGAATAGATTTTCTATACAAATCGGTCATAACTCAACAAGTCTGCCTTTCGAAAATAAGTCGATCGCACAAATTTGTGGTTTGATACAAATTTGTTGTGTCATCCGACAGACATATTTAAGAAATCGTTTTTTTTAATACAAATCAGACAAAATATAGACAAATCTGTTGTGTCATACGATAGACATTTTTAACAACTCTATTGTACGGCAGGGGTAATTCTGACCACGAAAACATTCTAATAATTTGAAAAAAATATGAGTCATTCTAGTAATATCACCATAAATTTGAGTCATTCTAATTTTCTTCCCTATTATAAACTATCTAAATTACCTTAACATATATAAAAACATTAACATATTTAACTAATTTCGGATACTTTCAGATCTTCTTCGGATTTTGGTTCGGTTTGGATTATACCCAAAGTCCGAAGTACTAGGCTCATAAGTCTCGTTCGGTTAGTTTTGTATAATAGTTTGGATCTGGATTCGGTTTTTTCGGTTTGGATTTAGGTCGATACTTCGGATTGTGGTAAAAACACCCAGGTCTAGTTGCCCATTTGGATATTGATTCCATATCCCACTATCGAATTGTTGGATATAATCTAAACTATAGAAAAGGAAGAGCCAAAAGAAAATAAAATCTGAGCCTTTAGAACTGGTTCAAAGAATTGTTTTCGGAAGTAAAAGCTTCCTAGTAAAGAAGATATAAATCTATCACAAGGTATTTTTAGAAGGAAAAGAGAAATGAAAAACGACGATTGCTTGTTAATTCTAACATTACATGCAACGTACCAATTTCCAAATTAAGTATAATAAATACAGAGAAGCTAAAAGCAGTGTTTTGAAATCCGACCTAGATCCGTGGTTGAACCAGTAAACCTGATGACCCAAAATAAATCTGGTTCGGGTTTTGTTAAAAAACCAAAATTTAAAAATCAGCAAAAACTCAGAAAAACCCACTAAAACTCAAAATCCGATAACGGTTGAACCACTGGTTGAACCAATAAATAAAGTTTTACCATTTTTTAGTTTAAAATTATATTTTAATTCTATTTTATTTTAATTTAAAAGCTAGATTTTCATGTTTTAGTTATTGGCATTGCTGTATTCTTCTTTAAATTTAGATTAAACTTTCTGACTTTTTATCATACATAATACATACTATACTATTTTATCTGTGATTTTTAGATGTTGATGAAGATTTCACTATACCAACCGAAGAAAATGAACAGAAGGGTGATAACGTGAACCAAAATTAGTTAGATGTAATTTGGTGTTAGTTTATTTTTGTTATTGATAATTTTTTACAATAATGTTTTATTTTTGGTTTATTTTGGATTTGAAGTTTAACTTATTATTCTCATTAGGAATTTAAATATTTATAAATTTTATGTTGTGATTTTTTTAGATGTCATTACTCTTAACTTGTCCAGAAGTTTAAAAACATTGGCGAAAAAGATAGATAAGAGTTCAACAAAAGTTTTTTCTTTTTAATTTTCTGCTTCGACAATGTGTTGTAAATTTTTTATAACACTGGTAAGTTTGTAGAGAACAAGGTAATACAAAAGAAAAGACAAAAATGATGAGAAAAAATGTCAGTAGACACCAGAAACATGGAAGTAACCTCACCAAATCCTTTTATAGTTGAGTCTCCAAAGCAAGTAAATGATGGAGCCAGATCGGAGCGTTTCGGGCGACGAACGATTGATGACACAGATCGTGAGTAACATTTATAGCAATTGCCGCTGCAGTTTCATTGCGATCAGGAAGAACGTGTTCCAAGCTCTATGTATTTATCCTTGTCAGGAGGCTAAAAAATGTTGTGACGAATATGGCTGAAGATATGGTGTTCATCGGATTTTGTGAGAACGTCATGCAGGCACTCGGACGCAGATTCAAAAATTACATTTGAGAAATGTAGATTATCCAAACACTCCACCGCCCAAAAAAGAGTCCACAGATCAGATTTTGTTTTTGTGCGCATAAACAAATAGGCTCGATGGCTATGTATGATTGTAGACCCATGTTCATCATGTAACATCCATGAAACACCAGTAAAATGGTTCGAGTTTACCCATGAAGATCCAATATTACATTTGATGAATCCATTTGGGGTTTTTTCCATCGAACATGTTCCGTTTCAACAACATCATCCATTCCATCATTCGTGCATGTGATTGTATCAAACCATGTAGATTCTTCTGCATAGGCATGTTTAGCAATAAATGATGATTTCTAAAACCTTGTTTTCGAAAATAAATGCATTCATAGTTTTCCAAATTTCCCATAACAACTATGGAAAGACATTTCTTGTATGTATATCCGTAGATGAGCTACCCGTCTTGATCAAGTGCATAAAATTTAAATTTGTATAGTTCTGAGAGAAACTTCCTAAAGATGTTGAGAAGTTAGATTGATTTCATGTGTTACGAGCTTTATCACATGTAAAAAGAACATGACAGATATTCTCAACACCATTACCACAAATTAGACATGTTGGGTTTAACGGAATGCACCGAGTAGTCAAACGTTGTTTCATAGCTAATGCACCAGAAAGAGCACACCACATAAAATGTTTATTCTTGTATTTATATCCATTGACAACGTGTTGTATAAAATGTTTATTTTATAAAAACGCACTACTGTTTCAGAACTATATTGATTAAGAGTTCAACAAAAGTTTTTTTTTTATTATGTTCTGCTTCGACAACGTGTTGTATAAAATGTTTATTTTATAAAAAACACAACTGTTTCAGAACTATATTGATTAAGAGTTCAACAAAAGTTTTTTTTTATTATGTTCTGCTTCGACAACGTGTTGTATAAAATGTTTATTTTATAAAAAGCACTACTGTTTCAGAACTAAATTGATTTACAATTCTGAATAAGAAATTGCAAATCAATTTCGCAAACATACATCAACTTTTTGCCAGAAATCTCAAACCAATCTGCACAAATCAAATCTATCAAGACACCCAAACATCAACGACTTCGGCTCCTGCAATAGAGAACATCTTACTACTATTAAAAACAGTGGATTAACAAAAATAACACGCTATAAAATAAAAGATTCAGTACCTTCAAAGTTCAACAATGCTCCTGGTGAATCTATGCTGGAGCCATGCATCTTCAATATGCGCAGCGGCGGAAGCAGTTTTTTTGAGTATGATTCTTCTGACCACTTGGGAACAACCAGAGCAAAAATCCAACAAAGCAGAAAACCTCTCTTCACGCCAAAATTACATCCCATATGTTCTATTATACGCATTTCCCGGACTTGGACTTGGAATCCGGAATTTGGGTTCTTCATACCCGTTGTTGTATAGGCTCCCATTGAATCCCATCCGTTCGTTCCTAAGAAGCTCAGCCATGCCTATAGAGTTCAAACTTTGGCCTTCATTCCACTTATTATCCCAGTGACCATTAGACAAGACTGGATTTGCAGAGGGTTGTTGTCTTTGGAGCTGTGAGAAATGAGATAAGCTACTTCCTTGTGTCTGATGGTGATCCATGAGCCTTGAACTAAATCCATACGGATCGGAAGGTGCAGGAGATAAGTTTCTTAGGTCATGATGAAACCCATTGACCTGTTGTTGTGTCGCAGACAGAGACTGCTGTCTCAACATTTGGTGTCCTGCTTCGTTCCCAAAGGAATTCATTTGTGATGAGAAACCTGATCTCATATCCAAGTCTGTGTTAATCATCCCTCTTCCAACAGCTAGAATTGCAGGATCCGCAAACTCAATATCACCTACACCACTTGAATTACCAATCGGAGGTTGTGCTTGGTATGCATTCCTCATAAAAGAGGCATTGTCAAGAAAACGAGTTCCTATGATACAAGAGCACACTAGTATTAGTATATAGCATCATCCGCACTCTAAGCTACTCAAGAACTGGAAAAAGATATACCTGTCGCGGTATCTGAAGATAGCCCCACTCTTTCATGTTGAGAAAAGCCAGGAGGAGGCAACCTGCTGGGAGCAGAAAATCCTGGAGGTGCAGAAACTTGGGGACGTGAAACTGCAAAAGGACAACAGAGAAACAAATTGGAAATGTCGCACAAAAATGATAAAATCCAAACAAGAAACAAGGGAAAACCACTAACCTGGAGCCTTGTACGAAGAGTATAAAGAACTAGCAGCAAAGCTTTCTAGCCCACCAGAGTGATTTGAAGCAAATCCATTAAGACTCCCCTGATTATCCCGATAGATATCTCGATTCACCACAGACTCCGGAAGAGGCTGTTCTCTTGAAAACTGCCCATAAATGCTACTGTTCTCCCTGACAAATCCTTGATTACTAGATTCTTCATACCGCGCAAAAGAAAATCTGGACTGGCTGTTATTTTGCTTCAGGAGGTTCGAAGGTTTAAGAGTATTAGATCGCTGATCAACTTCACCCAGTAAGTCTGCCAAATTGTTTGGTGTTGTTACGGATTCATCCCATGGATCGAAGTCAAGTCCCAAAATGTTTGGTATTATATCATCCTCTCCGTTGCGAACCTTGTTCCTGCCATCATTAGCAAACAGAGAGTGCTCAACACTGAACATGGATTTCTCACCATATCTGTTTGGAAGATGCAATCTATCACTGTCCTTATCTGAAGAGAACCTCGTATTTGAATCGTTCACACCTGAGTGTTCGCTAGGCAGAGAAGAACAAGAAGCGAAACGATTTGAATCCAAAATGGAACTTGAAGAATTAGACAAAAACCGAGAGAGTAAGATATCTTCTTCAGGGTGATGCCGCTGGCTATCTAACGATGATCTACCCTCTACATCCCATTTTGAACTAACTTGCATCTGGGATTGCAAATCTGATCTCCAATCCCACTCGGGCTTTGTGCAGGGAACCTCAATCTCTGATGGAATAGCTTTTTCATCAGTGTTTGTGGTATCCACCCTACATTGCTCTAAATGTGGCGACTTTGATACTTCATGACCAGGCTGTCTAATAGAACCTTGATCACACTTACTACCAATCGCCATTGCAATATTAGTGAGTTCATTCCTCAAATTCGTAGTTATCTCCATTTGTGAAACAACAGCAGACAAGTTGCTTACAGTAAGGTCATCTTCTATAGCTTCATCTGTATCGTCAGATGAGTTTACAGTAGCTGAAGGCTTGCCAAGGTCTCTGCCATTGTCGGAAGAGTCTATTGAACTGGATAACCGGTTGCTCGGAGGATCCCTATCAGGTGAGGTAGTTCTTTTAGACCCAGAATCAACAACAGCATTGTGCTCCAAAGGCTTCAACACCTTAGGCTTGCTTTTGTCAGCAACTATTTGGCTTTCTTCTTTGCGCGATGGTCTTTTAAGAACGTCGCTAGTGGATACAGGACCATGAGCTGCGTTTGCAACAACAGCAGAAAAGGCTAATGTACCGTTTACTGACGTTGTTCTTTGTATTTCAGAAGATCCATTTGGGGTAACCGAAGTTGCTAAAGGCTGCTGGTTTGCAATATGTGAACCCCTGAAACAGAATTCCCTGTTTTATTAGATCGACCAATAAAAATGCTTCCCATATAAAGCAGCAAGTGAAAACATACCATGACGCTCCAGCAGGAAGAGCAGTGGATCTGCTAGAGCTCCCGCTCCCACTCCCACTAGGTGGAGAATACCTAGGAACATTTGTTGCATTCTGCTCATAGAAAATAAAGTGAGACATGGTTATAAATCAGATAGGATTTATACGCTAGTCATGTTCTTGGAGCACATGGCTCATGCAAAATTGCACTTGGTTTAATTGCACTTACACTCGATGGAACATTTACAATCGGTTTTGCAGAAGAACTTTCACTGCAAAAAGCATCCAGTGGTGGAGGTAGCATGCTCCCTGAACGGTGCTGCAGAAGATTTGTTGCTCCAGTGATTTGTTGAACTCTACTCCTTCAAAATTACTATAAGACTTAACTAATCATCCAAAATACTAAACCAGCCATCATACATATATACTAAAGATACTGGATCCACGAAACTGAACAATCATGAGAGATTGGGAGAAGTTTACAATTTAAGAAGATAAAATTACCGTGTATGAGCAGATATGATCTCATCTTTTGTGAAACTGTCCTCTTGAGAACCAACTTCGTGCAAATAGAGACAATCAGGATTAACGCATGCCTGAAATTAAAAACATGCAATTCATCACTACAAAGACATCAATTAATCTAATCTCAGCAGGAGGTACCCCAAAGAATAACCCAGGGAGTCAGAAAGCAGAAAAAGAATCCATAGAAGGCATACCGCATTTCTCAGCCATGCATGACAATATTTAGTTGTCCCAAAACATGCCCTGCAGTATATTTACACATCTAACCGTTAAGTGGACAGAAAAAAAAATCTTAAACACTACCCAGACTAAGATAGTTTCAAACAAAAAGGACGAGAGGCAAAACTTACTTCAGTGATTTACCATCCAATGTAAACCCATGAACAGCCTGAATGCAACGGACAGCTTCTTCTTCTTTTGCATAAGTAATATATCTGGATAGCAAAAAATATTATCAGAGGAAAACATGAATGACAAGCAAAAGTCAAAGAGATTCATGATAAGAGAAATTTTGGTAAACAGAAACGCACACACTGCATGTATTGTTTGGAAATTGTTGGATGACACCAGTTGCTGTTCGGGACATGGAAACCTTCAGAACTTTTCCATACTGACCAAAATATTCTTTATGATGGAGTAGCTGGAAAAAAAATGGAGTAGTCACATAGTTATTCACAAGAAAAAAAAAATTAAAGGGGTGTAGAATGAGAGTTCTCATACATCTTCATCTGCTAGATTAAGGGGCAACCCGACAATGTAAACAAGATTCCTTTGGATGACTCGCACACTGGTGAGTTGCTTTCTCCCATCAGAAGTTTTTGATTTTGACTTTTGAACCTTCTTTCGCTCCATGTTGCCTTCAGAGGCCAGACTGCGAACAGGTAGTTGTAGGAAAAAGCCATCAGCAAAAGAAAGTAGGAAAAGATTTGTTATCGACAAAAACTAATTTCGCCAAAAGAAATTGCGTATCAAGCATAATATTAACTACCTGTCGCAATTAACAGTCATCCCTACAACCTTCTCTTTGTCATAAGGAGTGCGACAAGCTGGACAACGCCCTTCTATTTGATCTTTCTCTGCCATGTCCACTATGTGATGCCAGCACCAAACACATATCTGAATCACATACACAAATTATTAACAAACAAAGATCATTGGCTAAATGCTAAAAGGGCTGATTCTTGGTTTGCTAGTGAGCATTGCAATAAGCCAAACGGTTTAAACTATACATGTCAATTCTAAAACTGAGCAGTCAAATGAAAGGGGATGGGAAGACCTGATAGCCACATTTGCAAGGCTTCAATTGCTGATCAGTGAGATCCATCTCTTCAGCACATAGTGGACAAGTCTTCTCTCCCTGGTCACTCATGGTTGTTCTAGGAGACAAAAAAAAAAATACATTTCAGTCATAAACGTTAAGTCAGTAGAAAACATTTAGAGAGCAATCACATAAAGAAATGCAAGCAAAAGACAAACTAGGACTGAAACCAGAAGCTCAAGCCCCAGATTTTGCTAAAATACTTAAATCTTGACCATTCTCACATCTAAAAAAAAAAGTCTGATAAGTTTCGCATGAAGGTTTGTTAGCTTCCATAACCGATAATCAATTTCTATGCCGCATCAATGCAGATTCAGCATTTCACCAATATAAAATCCTTGAATCTAACGCTCACTCATCTCATCAACGTTATCCTAAGCCGATTTAAAAAGGAATAAAAAAAACCTCAAAAAATTACTCTAAATAATCAAACTTTCAGATCGATACTATCAGAATCATCAAAAACGCATATTCGATGAAGAAACTCTCCAGAAATGGATCTGTGCATGTGTTCAATTTACAGACGAGTCAACGGACAAATCGTTAGGAATCAATCACAGACAATAACATATGACAAAATCGAAAAATCTCAATCAAAATTTACAAAAACCCGATGATCCGATTAAAACCCCAAGGAGAATTAGGGTTTTGAAGATTTCAAACACCACGAGGAAGAGATTCAACAAGAGAAACATACAAAATTGAGGGAAGATCGATTGAGATTCGCAGATGAAGAAGATGAAGATTTTCGAGATGAGGAAATGGATGGCTGGTGACTTTGGTGGATTTGGCTTTTTTAACCCTTAATTTCTGGCAGATCCACGTTGCTGTCTCCCCCCCTTTGTTTAAATACTCAATTAAAAAGAGTTTCCAATAACTTTTTTCTTTTATTCGCCTCTTCGATGCGGGCCCATTTTCTTTTTTCTATATTCAGTCCGGTTCGGTTTTTCTTAACCGGTTGATATCAGCCAGTTTTTTTTTATAATTAAACTAGTGGTTTGTCCGCGCTACGCGCGGAGTGTTAACTATTTGTTTAACTTATTCTCAATATTTGTTATTAAGGGGTGTTTTCTTTTTTTTAAGTGTGTGTAGCTAAATTAATCTTTACATACATGTCAATTCAAATTGTATTAAATGATTTGGTTTTTATTGTTGAAGGTCTTGTACTCTTGTTGCCACTAATCTCATTGAAATTGCTAAGCTTATAGAATCCTCCTTTTTCCCTTAATGAGAGGTGTTTGAGAATGTTTAGCCTATGGACTGCGATGGATGGATCGCAGACTGCAAATATAAAACGTGGTTGGAGAATTGAAAAGTTACAGAGGTTTTGAGTAAATCTACAACATATGAAACGATAGACGTTTGAATATGATAACCTTGTGATCGAGCAAAACCATGTCTACATCATAAGCTCTCCTCATTTCTTTATGCTTCCTAAATGGAAGGGGAAGTGAAGCTGACATCGGTTACACATCATCTGTGAGAAATGTGGTAACTTCTGTCGGTAACAAATATAGAGTCATGGGACTGTATGTAATATTATTATCATAATTGTCTAGATAATATCATACTATTGTAGAGAGTTATATTTTATTGATTGTTCAAATTGAAGTAATAGATTTAATATCAAAAAAATAAAAACGGTTTAGTAGATTAATTTTTTGTTCAAAAAGAATAGAAAATGTTAACAAAACAAATAAAATTATTGTTTAACAATTTTAAAAAATTAAAGTTGTAAATCCAAACACAATGCCAAAATCAAAGCACAAACTAAACTTTATGTCTGAAGTTTTTATTTGTACTTGTAAGTAAAGATAAGAAGATCTTATGGGAGAGACCAAGTAAGAAGCAAAATCAAAACTTCATACATATACTAAGCAGTCATCTCTAGAAGATCTTATGGTTTAGCCTAATCTTTTTCTTGCCGTGAAACTTCCTTTGAGCATCTACAGTTTCACTGTAGAATAAAGAAAAGACACCTTTGATCAAGAAAAAAAGAAGAGACACTATCTTGAAAATACGATATAAAAACACAAAACATCATGAGGGTTTCAAACAAACCTGAACTCATCAATGATCTCTTTACTTTACTCCATCGTGAAAAGCATTGGTGCCTCATCAAATCTCTGGAGATTCATTGATAACTCTGTAAATTATAATGTTTCATTGTTCAAATTCAACTGCTTATTGTAATAGAATTGATATGGTTTTTACCTGTAGCAAACTAAGAGAAACACCTTCACGGAAATGACCAATCAGGTTTAAGTTCTCTGCAGACTTTAGCATCATATAAGGCATGTCCAGCTTGTCCTAACCGCAACCAGCTGAATCAATGGCCTTTGTTTTTGTGACATAAGTTTGAGAATCTTCCTATGACTTTTAGAAGTAGTTTTAGTGTTGAATACTTGTGTATAAGTGTCAATGGCCATCTGGAAATGCTTTCTGGAAATGTTTTCTGTGAACATGTCTTGCCCTATGCTTTTGCTTCTGGGGCTTGGACCTTTGCTTTGGGAGTGATCTGTGGAAATATATAATAGTGTGCTTTAGAAAAATTCGTCCAAGAGAGATAAATTTTAATCAAACTTCAACGTATGAAATACCTCAGAAGGTCTCTCTTAATCACAGCCTCTACAGATTTTGACTTGTTGAGATTTCCTCTTGTTCTTTATTTGATTCCATCTGAGCTAGAACTCCAACAAATGTCCAGTCTGAAACAGTTTCAGATTTTGTTGTCAACGGGAAGAGTCTCTACACTTTTTTTGTTCTCTATTAGAGCTGCAACTTCTAATGGCCTATTGCGTACCTTTGGCACCTTCATGTAATTAACAAAATAAGTATAAAGCTTGATCTAAGATGTACAGCAACTGAAACAGGACAACACTACAAATCAGGAACATCTAAAAACTTGACCAATAGCTTGAAGCATGCCGCAGAACCATTACCTCGACATGTGTAAGCCTTCTGTTTTCACTGATCTTACCAGAATTGAGATTTCTTGTACCTGCACGACGGCCTTGCCAAAGCAGATTACATAGAGAAATCGAAGGTGGGGAGGTAGATATATTAAAGGGAAGCAAATAAAAAATATTAGGTAAAGTAAAGATGAAAACATGGTGATTATGCAAAAATCTGAGTTAATGCTTAGATACTATTCGAATCTGCTTTGGAGGTTGCTCTTGAGTAGTTTTAGGATTAGAAGTATTTATTAAAGGCTTCTAAGTGTGATAACGATGAAAAGGCCAAGAGTTAATCAGATATCAATGCGAGGCTAAGGCGTTACCGTGTTGAGATCGTCGTTTTAGTTTCATGAGCTCTGGCGGCATCTAGTGTCAGATGATGCATTCCCCCTGCTACAACTTGTTCTTTTACCTTCACCAGTAACACAGATTCTACCAATGCATTCTACAACAGTGAAAAACCAAGAACCCAAAACATCCCTCAGTAATCATATCATGTATAAAACATAATCATACATATATATAAGTACTCATATCCCACAGGAAACAGTTTCTAAAATTCACACTTAGCCTATTAAAAGCGTAAACATACGAAGGTGTGCAGGTAACTGAAATCGAGATACATAATGAAAAAAAAAGTAATATTAGATTATCAAAATGATGAGATGCTTTCAACGTGTTAATAAGAGACAGAGATGGTTAGCCGGAGTAACCTCTCTAAAAGAGGAGCATCGCAGTGACAAAAAAAAAGGAGGAGCATCGCTGGGAAGGAGAAACGATGGGGAAGAAGAGCCCTAATTTCATACGGGCCAAAATTAAACAATTGAGGTGGGCTATGAATTTTTCGCAAGCCCAGCCAAGGTCCATCGTTACTCTGCTAACGCAAAAAAAAACCCATAGCCAACCAGATGCTGACACGTGGCGAGAAAACCCCCTATGTTTAAAAGTGACGTGGATAGCTTAAGGGGGCAGATTTCCCTACTTTATTAGTATAGATACAGAAAATTACACAACTAGTTGAACAATCTTCTAGTCTTCAAAATTTATGGCGTTACCAAAAGTTACCCGACCACATATTAAAGATAGTTTGACCACAAATATTCTTAATTACTTTTAACTCAATGAAATGAAAGTGACAACATCATACCAAGAAGTTGTGAGATTGTAGTCATTTAATCAAAATAGTATATCTTGGGGATAAACAAAATGCTCTCGTATAACTCCAGTATATAAATACTTTTGTTAAATTAATCAGTGGGTAAACTCAATTGTTAGCAACATCAGAAATTACTTTGGACAATTCTCTCATCTAATCTGTTGTAGACTTGTAGTGTTTTAATAAATAAAACATAAAATCATTTTGCTAAAAGCTATTTTCCAAAATTGACTTTATGAAAATCATGGAGATGGCTAATGGAATATCTCTTTTCAGTTATATATAAATAAGAAACTGAGTGGACCGGTAATTAATCACAGATTTGACATCAACTGAAACAAAAGATTGGTAAGGGGATTTGATCCTTTCAACTTTCCAGTATATTTCAAACAGAAACGGCTCTGTGCTGAGTGCAGTCGAAGAATCTCTCAACCATTATGAGCCTACATGTGATTTTATTATCATTGCCCACTTATTTACTATTCAAGGTTCAACCTATTGAATATCCCAAAAGACTGGTACGAAAACGTATCCCTTATGGAACAAAAGTTATTCATGCTAAAACAGCAAGTTCTTTGTACACATTTGATTTCTTAAGCAAGCAATAAAAAGTTGACTGTGTTCAACAAAGTTTTTAATTTCCTAGTAGTCATTAGAAATGGGTAAGAACAAATAAAGTAATGGTTAACGTAGAAGGAACCAAGCTTCTTTCAATCTAAAACAGGAGGAAGACCTTTGTTTGTATACTTTGTACAGTCAAATGGTCCTACTCCTTGATTGTTTTTCTTCTTCACCTGACCATCACGAACACACAAATAATTTACTCAAGTTAGTGTAATGAACCAAGTTTATGACATCTGCTGATTTTTTTTGAACGATGAGAAGAAATAAGAAGTGAGTTCTACACACTGTTGTAATCTGTCACACTAGTTCAGGATGAGAAATATGAAGTGAATTCTACACACTGATCTTAGAAAATTAAACAAACTAAGATCAAATCCAAACGTTTCAACTCTTGTTTCCTTCTTATCAACACCTGTACAAATCTAGGCAGATAGTGATGAGAGAGAGAGGGAGAGAGGATTGTACCGGAGACCATGGACCTGGTTCAGGAACAGTCTTGTCGGTTGGTGAATGTTGTACACGTCCACTTTTCAGAGTTAAGATTTCCTACATTTTTAACACAATAGATTCGCTGAGGCATTGCCAAATAATTATATATATTATACATACAGCAAGTGGATCTTCACAGCAGACAAAAAAAAAAAATGGATCTTCACTTTATCATCATGGTTCCATTCAAATCTTAGAGGAATATATATATTAGTTTCTACCTCCCCAGCAGCCTCAATTGCAGCTAACCACTCGTCGGAAAATGGAACAGCATTTGGAGGCTTTACAATAATAGGATCAGGTTTCTTCTCAAGTTTAGCATCCCTGTTAAAACAGTGAATTATTATCAGCCATTCTCAACATTTATATTAAACTGCGCTGCAGGAATAGAAATTAAACATAGTTTACTTACATTAGTATGGTCTTATCCTTGCCTTCTGGTGAACATGTACGATCACTACTGCTTACAGAGGCATGGACTCCATTGCTTTCTGATGTCAAATCGTCATCGTCAGGCTGGATATCATCTCTGACTGAGAAAGCCTCGTTCATGTTTATAGGAGTCCTTGGTTCCTCCTCTCTGGTCACATGTACTACAGGATCAGGAGAGATCTTTATAACTTGAGCGTCTACCTCTCCAGTAAAGCCGAGTTCTTGATCAGTAACCTGAGCACTGGAATCCTTTTCAGAAGCCTGGACTCCATTGCTTTCTGATGTCAAAGTGTCATCGCTCAGGGCAATGAACTCGTTATGCTGTATATCATCTCTGGCTGAGAATGCTTCATTCATGAATATCGGAGCTCCTGATTCCTCCTCGCTGGCCATATATTCTAAAGGATGACGAGAGAGTTTTATATCTTGAACTTCACCTTCTTCATGAGAGTCCAATTCTTGACCAGTAACCCGAGTATTGAAATCCTTTTCAGTATCTGTCTGGACTTCAGCTTTTCCAACATAGGTATACACAATACATCCAGAATTTGAATCCTGGCTTGACCTGCCTTCGGAGCTTCTGGAAAGAATGGTGTCTTGATTTAGACTCTCAGGATCCCCAAATACAGAAGCCGGGGATCCAACTGATTCACTTAGTAGTGTTTCAGGCTCTCCACTTTGGTCTATTGAAGTAGGGGTAGCTTCTAGTTCCAGATATTCTTGATTCGGAATTCCTTTGATAGGAAACTCAACGAGGTTACTAATGAGCTCTGACTCAGTAACCAGATTCACCTGTTTCAGATTCAAATTACCATCAGGCTCCTCATCGGAGCTATCTGACTCAGTAACCAGATCCATATCTTCCAGCTCTGAGTTATCTTCAAGTTCCTCATTTGAATAAGAGACCACTGTGGCAGATACATATTTTGCTTGACAGCAACCATCTGATGTTCCAAGTTGATCAGTCTGCTTCATTACATGAACATCCTTTACATCAGATGTATCTGCACTGGAACAGTTATACTGAATATGCTTTTCAGAAGTTAGTTTCTCAGAGCAGGGTTCATGAGATGATTCCTGAGATTTATCCTCCATATTAACTTCAGCGGAGGAAGTCATTAGTAAGTTCACTTGTTCGATGTTTTGTTCAACTGTAGAAGAACCAGTTGAGTATTCTATCTGCATATCAGCGCCATCATCTGTATTTGCTCTTTCGTTTCTGGTCAAGACATCAATCTCATGACTGCCTTCTTTCCCGTCAAGGGCTAATTGGCACGAGAACTGCTGTTCTTCAGATTCTCTAGACCAAACTTTGCAATCGGGAAATGGACCAACGAAATCAGACTCACAGTTTGTCTCTGTGCTATCGCTTACATCAATTCTCTTTTCCGTTTCTGATACAGCCTGACCATCACACTCCATGTTATGACCACACGGAATAGAGTCCAACACTGCCTTTTCCTCAAAATGGCTGCATGATGATTGAACACAATCTCGTGCGTCAGTAGGCCCTGAAGGAACAAAAATACCTGACTGATTTTCTGAAGATATATCACCTTTTCTTGATGCAACCCCAAGGAAATCTGGATCTGAAGTGAGGGAATCTAAAACTTCAGACTGCTTTGCTACACTTTCAGTAGAATGGTTAATAAGTAGCACATCTTTTTCTCCAGAAAGGAAATGACTCTTCTCATCTTCATCTCCAGGGTGCACGCATTCCTTTTGTGGTTTTCCATGTACATCCAATATATCTATATCCTCATTAACATTGTTCATAATACATTTATCTTCTTCCCCTTGATTGCGGACTTCCAACTGTGTCAACTCATCGCCAGAAGGACCCTGCACCGGAGAATCCATGGAACCTTTGATATGTGGACCTTCAACTGAGCAAAAAGTCTTCCTTTGCTCATCCGTATCATCATCAGACCTTCTACTGAGCGGCAGCTCACAGCTACTCTGGAAATCTTCACATTTCGCAGTAGAAAGGTTTTCAAACGTACAAATATCACCTGGAACGATACACGGATGCTGCAGGCTTTCATTTATCTGAGAAATCTTTGAACAAGACGACACTTTAGATTCTATTTCCCGAGTGCTTTTCAAGCCTAATTTCACCATTTCTTGAGAAGAGAAACCTGCAGCTGAACCTGAAAGGCCGATGGTTCGAGTTGCTGACTTGGAGTTCACTCTGGGTACTTTTTCAGAAAATTGGGGTTTCTTGAACGAAGGGATCAAAGAAAAACGAGAAGCTGAACAAACATCATAACTCGGAAGCTGAATATGTTTCTCTTCTCCGCTATGTGAAGGTTGAGAACCGGACTGCAAAAATCAGGAATAAGAAGTATGTGAGATTAAGAGCACAAAACGTAATTTGTGACCTCAACAACAACTAGACTTCAGTATAATTTAATAATAATGTACCTGATCAAAATAGCCAATTGATGGTGACGGTAGTCTTAAACCTGATGTCTTCACCAGTGGGGAAACTGCCGTGTTTCCAACTCTATCATTTTGAGCTAATGTGGTGCTCGCATTAGTTACATCAGAGTCGGGGATATTCGATGCATGGCCAAGCATATCCACATCTGATGTAGGCATAGGGCCATCCTTGGACTTCCCAGCAGCAGAATACTGTGACTTGGAAGCTGAAGGAACCGCTGATATTTTGGTGATCTAAAGTTTAATAAAATGCAGCACGTTACTCTCATGTAAAAATGAACACTGGCTTCAAAATTTCTACTGCATAATCTAATTGCTATATTGGTTTGAAGAGGGCGGCAATGCTTTACCACATTTCTTCTAGATTGCTTTAGAGAGGGCTTAGGAATTGAACTTTTGCTCGCCAGGCTGGAACTTGTTTTACTCTTGGTGCTGGAATTGCTTTTAGAGAAGCTTACAGATCCTAAGCTCCTCTGAGAATTATCTGTCGCATCAGAAGAAATAATCAAGTAAGGGAATTATGTAACAAAATATATAAAAGATGCCGCCAAGGCATTTTCTGAAACACACAAGAAGGAAAAAATCATTTTGAGATAGGTTCTATTTGCTTACTGTATGTGGATATACTTGATTGAGTAGGATGGCTTGGTTTAGGTTTGCTTGGACTTTGAGTACTTCTTTTCACGCTGCTTGCAACTGTAACCGGATCAGATTTGGTCGTAGAAACCTTAGATACGCTCGGCTCCCTGCTACGTGGTGTTGTTGTATGAACATTTGCAGGTCTTTTCAGGGTTCAAAGAAGTTAAGGTTAAACAAGCAAAAATAACAAAACCAGAAAAGCATGGATGGTGATTGCCTTAACAACCAGTACTGTAAGTAAGAAAAGGATATGAAGATGAAGGTGGAGGCCGGGGACAGCCACTGCGTTTGGAACCGCTCCTCAGTTCCTGAGCTGAAACTTTTTTCTGGGCCAATAAATGCATTCGACAGTTAGAAAAACATCTCAAAACTTCTTTTTGCTAGAAAAAGGAACACTGTAAGAAACCACTGATCTCGTTCATCAGCTCCATTAAAAACAATCCTCAGTTCAAATCCAGTAAACTCACCATGGAAGATGGCGGTTTAGATGGTGTTCCGTACTTAGGTACTGTGCCAGTCATGATCCTCTTCTCTCTCCTTTTACTATTCACCGGCAAGTCGTTAAACAAATTTTCCTCAAGCGCTAGTAGTCCCGGTGAAACATTAGCACATCTAGAAGCTGACATTGCCTCTTCCTGAATGGCAGATAACATATCTCCACCAACTACACAAGCATTTCCAGTGATTCTAGATAGCTCACTGGAATCCAAAACACCTAGCACAACACCACATTGCTCTAACTTAGTATCATAAACCAAACAGGAGAAATAAAGCTTAATCCATTCACCTTCTTCAGTTGAAAAAGCTCTATCCCATGCTAAACTTTTCCGCAAGTTAAACCCCTTTTTCTTCTTTTTCATCTGTTGTCTCTCCACACTCAATTCAACTTTGCTCCCACTAGTATTCTCCTTGCCTACACTTCCCGTATCAACACAAGTGCTTCCCTTCTCCATGTTGCCTGTTACTCTTCCTGTTAAATCATTTATCCAATATACACACAGATTCAGAATAGTTCGGATTTACGCTTTTTCCTATAGTATCTCTTGAAACGCTTACCAATTGAAGAAAAAGGAGGACGAGGAGGAACGGCGGCGCGAGTCGATCTAGGGATTTGGAGAGGTGAGCAATCAAAACGACTCGACGTAACAACGCCTTTAACCGGCGTATCTCTCAGAAGCCAATTGGATTCGTCTTCGCCAGAGATATCTAACAGATCCTTCTCCATTTTCTACTCTCGCTAAGCAGCGTCCTGAACCTATTTCGGTTCTCTTCCTCACTGCGGTCACTACTTTGGTTCTCTGCTTATTCGTTTTCCGGTTCGGATTTAACCAGATCGGTTCGGTTAGTGAGGCATCAAATTAAAAAAAAAAATAGGTACGTGACAGTTGTCTATCAGTATCAATAATGTTTTTCTTTCACCGTTTGAAGGAACAAGCATTCAACAGAGGACAGTCTCTGTTTTATACTACAAAAGGCAAACTTATGGGTTGGGAGATAAAACAATAATAATATAGAGAAAGTTTCTTTATTTTCGTTTCTTTAATTTAGAAAGAAGGTAACAACAGAGTCTGAGATCTCTGAGAGCACAAAGAGGTGGTGACAATGAACAAAGGTTTCTCTTTACTCACTTCTTGTTCTTTATTCTCCAGTTACATTGTCTTTTAATTTATTATTATTATTAATTTGTTGGAACAGGAGATTCTGATGATGATTGTTTTCCTAAGTTCTTCAAAGTGTACTTACCTGATGATTCTGGAGATGATCTAGTAAACAATCACACTTCTCTTCACTCTGTTCTATGTCCGTTCTCTTGTTTGTTAAAGTTGTAGATCCTTTCTTTTTTGCAGGACATACCCATTTCTTTCAACAGCTTCTTACCAAAGACATTACCTGAATACATAATTGTTAGAAGCATTTATGGAAACATATGGAAACTGAAGTTGAGGACACGTTGTGGTGATGTTAAGAAAATTTCTATGGTTAATGGCTGGAAAAGAATCGTAAAGGACGAAGATCTAAAGGGGGGAGAGTTTTTGGCCTTCGAGTTTGATGGCTCTCGTCTTTTCAACTTCTGTATTTACGGCCACGCAACTTGTAAAAGGCTTGCAAGTTCAGTCAAAACCAAAGATGATTCTCATGGTAAATTTGGTGTTGATATCATAGTCATTGATGATGATAGTACTGATGATACTGATAATGATGATGTTAGTAGTGGACAAAGTTCTGGTAAGGAAGATCAATCTACAAAAGATGTTATAGTTATTGATGAGGATACTAGTGATGATGATGATGAAAGGAGTGGAGTTGAGACAGAGATAAAAGACTGAAGGAGATTAATGGTGTGGCTCGTGGATGAATCAAAGTCCATGTTATAAGTGGATGAAGCTTTATGTGTTACTTCCAGAATATGTTAGAATGCTAATTACATCTTGGTAGGTTTTAATCAAGACACTCTCTCTTTAGTATATGAGTTTTTCCATAAGAGTTATTATCTATATAACTCCTGGTGTTGTTTGTGTGTCTGCAACATGTAGTAACGAAAAGTCTCATATAAATAAGAATGTAGTATTTGTTCTGGAGTTTGTACAATGCAAGGTTGGGTTGATAATCTCAATGGCATTATAATACAATTTGAAATGAGTTTACGGTTACTGTTTTGTCACTCAATTCTACAGATATTATTCACTCTACTCCAGACTTTATCAAGCTAACAACATGGAACTCTAGTGAAAGGATATAACTGAGTCGAACTGAAGGACTAGTTGATAATTTGAATGATCAAATAGTACTAACATCAACCACTTGCTGAAACATGTAATAGAACTCACTTAGCATAGATGTCCACTTGTTTGGGAAGCATGTTCACAATATAGCTAACGTGGTACACTGGACAATGGACATATCGTTAGTACCATGTAAGCAACGAACGACTGATTAACCTCATTAGCTCATTCATAAAAATATAAAAATATATAACACTAACTAGGATAGCAACGAACAACTTATTAACCTCATTAGCTCCAGTACATACTTTCTTGGTTCATGTATATCTCAAAATTGTAGTCAGGGTGAACCACTAGTAAAGTTTGTGTTATAGTGAGAGCTTTCCGGTTTACATTTTATCTAGCTATCTCACCAATTCTAAGTGAAACCAGTTATACCTAGGTTTATTACTAACTAGTGGTTTGTCCGCGCTACGCGCGGAATGTATGTTTATCGTGTAACCAAATGTTTGGTATTTGATATTGATATTAGAAGTAAATATTCAGATTTTGTGGTGCTGAAATGGTAGTTAATTTTGATGATTACTTTAAAAATATTTATGAGATAATTATCACTTATGTACTGATTTTGTGGTGCTGAAATGGTAGTTNTAACTAGTGGTTTGTCCGCGCTACGCGCGGAATGTATGTTTATCGTGTAACCAAATGTTTGGTATTTGATATTGATATTAGAAGTAAATATTCAGATTTTGTGGTGCTGAAATGGTAGTTAATTTTGATGATTACTTTAAAAATATTTATGAGATAATTATCACTTATGTACTGATTTTGTGGTGCTGAAATGGTAGTTAGTTTTGATGATTACTTTAGAAATATTTATGGGATAGTTATCGCTTATGTACAGAATAGTCTGTTGTTTATGAGAAGTGATTCGAGGTGAAGTTTTAGAACTATTAAGCTTTCAAAAAAAAAGTTATACAATTATTTTGAAATACTATTTGTTTGAAAGGCAATTGTATTATTTGTGAATTTGCTTGGTCTGATTTATATTTTTTTATAATAAAAAGAGAAGGGACAATAAATAGAACATGCATTTCCAGGGTTTGCACTTTACATATATTAGGATTTAGGAATACAGAAAATAAAAACACTTTACAACATTTCTATCTTGTTTGCTGAGTTTTATTCATATGATTTGTTTAAATTCAGTAACTCTTGATACCATCGTTGCTAGTTTATTTTTATATACATAGTGTTATCTTTCTTTATGCTCTTTGAGATTGTTTATGAACTATATCTTTACAACTTTTTTTGAACCTAATTTACCAAAAAAAAAAAAATTCCTTTTTTTGAACCCCAAAAGATGTTTTGAAATCACATACATCTTAAATGATGATTGGTGTCAAGTACATATTTTTCTTTTATGCTTGAAATCATTTGTTTGCTTTCCTTTTTCTTTAAGTTCTTCACGAAAATCTCATGCCTATTCTCCAATATAACCATTGAACCCGGAAGATCCTCTGGCTAACAAAACGTTGCTAATGGCGTTTGTAAATGTTTTGTTTATGTTGTACATTTTATATTATGTACCGTTTATTGATGGCCGTATTTTGAGTAAAATATGTTTTAGGCTAAAAAGGGGTTTAAGGTTGGGTTGTGACTTGTGAAACCAATATTTTGTCTGTTTTATAAAGTGAATTTAAATGATATGACTAAGCAAAGAGTATTATTTTTTTTTCTTTTTTTTTTGGGCAAAAGCAAAGAGTATTATTTTTTTTTGATAATTTTGTTAGTTATTTTTCGAATACTCTGCTCCGCGTCGCCAGCCAAGCTTTTGATAAAACATTGATCAAAATTTATTGGATTATTTAAAAATAATGTTCTTACTTGAAGCACTACCATAAAATTCTTTTACCTTGCTTCGGTCGAAGAGGTTTAAGCGTTATAAAATCTTTTGTGTTGACTATTGACATATTAAACAGGTTGTTTTTGTCCAAAAAAAACAGGTTGTTAGATGCATTTCGAATTAAATAATATTTTTTCATCAGTTAATTTATTTGATTTCATTGATATGTTACATATTGTTTGCTTTGCACATGCTTGTTAACACAAATGGATCCTTCTAAACCTTCTCTGTAATTGTTGATACATAGAAGTTGTGAATATAAAACCAAATAATTTGTACTACTAATTTTGTACGAATGCATCTTAATATTTTACACATCAAGCAGGCTCATCCAAATACAATAAATATTTAAAAGTCAATAGCCTATGCAAGTATATAGAATATCATAACGTTAAATTTTGTTTACAACTCTAAATCGAAGTTATTAACATTGAACTTTAAAGTGTTTGACTAACAAACAAAAACAAAACAAATCAAAACTTATGGATCGTAAAAAAATCAAGGCATCAAGATGGCACACATGTCTGAAGTCTCTGGTTTGGTCATTTAAAAGCAACATCCAAACAAAATTAAGTATGAAAATCAGCTAATATTCTCCTATCCACCCTTATACGTACTAAAAACTTTATAAAGCTGCTTCTTTGTGCTTTCTAATACAGTCACTGACTTCATGTTAAATGAGGAAAAGACCATCACAGATTAATCATACTTGAAACCTAACCTTGTTCACCACATTACGTTAGTAAAGCTCGATGCGGATAGGACACATGCAACCCTTTCCTTGAACTCTGATCAGACCCCTTCTCACCCACTCTGATCAGACCTCTTTCTCACCCACCCATTTCTACTACATAAACCAGTCAATAGCTCAGAGAAATCAAATTCTTTTTGAAGAATCTGCTGAAACAATAAAGACAGAACAATGACAAGACTACCACACCAAATTTATATATGATCTTGTCTGAAATCAAAATCAAATGCAAGAGATTGAATGTTTTTAACTTTTCTAAAAGAATCTTTCAGAGAAGTCACATGTAAGAGCTTATCTATACATAAGAGACTAAGAGAGTGCATCAACATTCATAACAATGGGATTTTGATTCATGTATATCTTCAAAACCATCATAACAGAGAAAAAAGAAAAACTTAACTGGTCGTAGATGACAACCAAACACTAAAGATGCCGCATTTGAGAATTGAAACGTAATGGACGTGATAATCTTGAACACAATCAAAACTTTTAAAATATTTCTTAGCAGAGCCGTGAATATATTTCAAACCCATTAACTTTTAAAAATGTGAACTTTCTGTGATTTCTAATCAAGATAACAAAGAATGAGACGCACACAGAAAGAAGAGGATCTCTGCAACTCAGGAATCAAGCATAATCTAAAGAACACGAAAAGGACCTCACAACACGCATATGCCAGAAACAATCAAATGATACAAACACATAAACTAAATTTTAAGTTGCAGAGAACTTACGTGTCATACACTCCCTTCCCAGCTTCAGTCTCGGAGTCAAAGTAGAGGTGGGTGCCGGAAGTTGCATTCAGAAATAAGCGGCCTATCAAAATTGCGTAAAATCAAAGAACTAATAATATGTGTTTTTCGAACAGAAGCCGGGAAATAAAAATGCAGATTACCCCCAACAATTTTAGGATTCACACTTGTGACGAGGACAATTTTGGGTTCTTTCCCATATACATCAAACTTTGAATGGAACGCTACAGCCATTGAATCAAATATGCTAACACAGACGTTCTCACCACTGCAACATACTATAGGAAAAACAAAAAAGAGTTAGGCTATATGCGAGGAGCAAAAATAAAGGAACAGGAATGACCTTTGCAGACGCAGTGTTAGCATCACACGCTGAGAACCTCCTATACGGTCAGCGATAGTGCTCCTGATTGCATTCACCTCGCCAATTACATCTGCAGAAAAATAAGTAAAGAGTAGCTTTAACACATGCTATGAGTTTTAAAAAAATGAACACTCTAGGAGGAGGAACATACCAGGCAGTTGCTTGCCGGTGTTGGCCAGCTCAAGAAGCTGATTGTACGGTAGGAATCTGAAATATCCAGAGGTATAGGCCTATAAATCTCGGTTTTCTTCTCGAGAGAGGTAGCATCAGTGAACCGGATTGTTAATGGGGCATCACACAACCTAAAATTGGTGTTGCTGTGACATCGAAGCTGCTCAATGTGTAGACAGATCCCTCCTTTAAACGGTCCCGGAACCTCAATTGACGGGTCGCAGCAATCGTTCCTTGCGTGAGAGTTGCCTGTTGAACATTTTAATAAATAAGTTTATAATGATATTTGTAAGAGGCAGAGTAATACCACAAACAAAACCAAAAAAAAAAACCCAAAAGAAGAACACGGGGACAGACTTCAACGTAAAGGAAGACTAAAGATACCTAAAACGACAAAACCACTTTCATAATACAAATCAGGCGAGCAGGTTTTAATTGAAACACTGGAAATCAAATTTCATTGTCTAGTTCCACCGTTTCACTGTCTACTTCCACCAAAAAGAACAAAAATTACAGATTTTAAAATGAGGAAATTGGGTCAAAGTACAGATCTGGCCAAACAGCTTAGTTAAGAACACACATAATCCACTACCCCTGTCTAAATTTACCAAGAATAACATAAACGACAGATTGAAAGCAAGATGCTAACATTTTCATCTACGAAAAGCAGATCAACGCTCATCAACTTACCACCTTTCCTCACATTCCGAGCCTCCCAGAACCTAAGCAACCGGACCTCCACAGCGTTGGAGCATCTTCCAGCTTTCAAATCGGCAAGAAGTGTGTATGAATTCATCATGGAGGATTCGAACAAATAAACAGAGAAATCGTTTGCAAAAAATAGAAAGGGTGAGAGACATGGGTTTGTAGGGGGATATTTATAGGGTCTACGGAAACCGTTACTTTGGAGACTTGACGGTGAAGAACTTAATGATGAAGTAATGGTTAATCATAAAGTGGGAATAGAGATTGGGAATCCAAAGAGTATAACGGAAAATTTAAGGACACCAATGAACTCTATCGTTCAGAAGCAAGGCGAGAGGAAGAAGAGAAGAAAACCTTAATATTCCCTACGGGCCACAAACATTGATAATTCTAAAGCCCATCAGTATCACCATATAAACGAAACAGCCCAATTCTAGATGGGACACGTGGCAGCAATTGCCCCTAGAAGCAGGGAAAAAACTCTACTTTATTAGTAAAGATNCCAATGAACTCTATCGTTCAGAAGCAAGGCGAGAGGAAGAAGAGAAGAAAACCTTAATATTCCCTACGGGCCACAAACATTGATAATTCTAAAGCCCATCAGTATCACCATATAAACGAAACAGCCCAATTCTAGATGGGACACGTGGCAGCAATTGCCCCTAGAAGCAGGGAAAAAACTCTACTTTATTAGTAAAGATAGCCAACTCAACCAAACCTATGAACTGTACTCCATCGCTGTTATCGAGTGGACTGAAACTTAGACCGATTTCTCGAATTCATGGGCCTCGTGGGCCTTGGCGGTATTTTTGTTCTCAGAACGAATTAGTTTGCGTTATGTGAAAGCGCGTGAGTTAAGAGTCTGTTTTCTATTTGAAGGAAAAAGCAGAGAACAGAGTGCAGTCTCTGTTTTCACAAGTTTCAGACAGAAGTAGAAAACCCCCACTTTGATCTAAACCATTTGATCACAAAAATTAGGGTTTGAAGAACTTGAGAGGAAGAAGATCAGCACAACGAGACACGACAATGCAGACGAAAGGTTTCTCCTTTACTCTCTTCTTCCTTCTTGATTCTCCATTTTCCTTGTATCCTATTTGTCAGATTTTTTTTTTTTTTTTTTTGAATAATAATTAGGATCAGGAGATTCTTCAGATGATCGTCTCCCAAAGTTCTTCAGAGTGTACTTACCTAACGACTCAGGAGACGATCTGGTAAAAAAACACACTTCTCTTCACTCTGTTTTTTGTGTATGTTTTTTCTTTGGTCAAACTCTGTTTTTGTGTTATTTTTTTCCTTTCTGTGTTTGAAACTTGAAGATCGTGTTGTATTGCAGGATATACCAGTCTCTTTCAACAGATACTTACCAACCTCTGTTCCTAAGAACTTGACGGTTAGAAGCATCAACGGGAAAGTTTGGAATCTGAAGCTGAAGAAACGTCGTGGAGATCCTGAGAAATTCTCTATGGTTGATGGGTGGAAGAGGATCGTCAAGGACGAAGATCTAAAAGGAGGAGAGTTCTTAGCTTTTGAGTTTGATGGATCTTGTCTCTTCGACTTCTGCATTTACGGCCAAACCACGTGTAAAAGGCTTGGGAAACCCACAGAGGTTGAAGATGAAGATGATGATGATGTCATAGTTCTTGATGAGGATGATGATGATGATGAGGATTATGATGGTGTTGATGATGAGGCTGCTGAAGATGATGTTGATGTTGAAGCGAATGATGAGGAAGTGGATGCTGAGGATGAGGATGATGATGTCGATGATGGTATGGAGGATGATGATGATCATCATAGACAGCTTCTGGATGATCCGGATAACCCTTCCTTCACTGTTATCCTGAACCCGAAGAAAATGAGCCAACTGGTAAGAGAATATATGAATGATAAAAGGATCTTTTACACTTGTTTTGGCTTATATGTGTTCTGCTTTTGTGTATCTTGATGTTTGTTTGTTGCATCATGCAGCTCATCCCATCTCACGTTATGAAAGACTACAACTTGAACTTCACTGACCGTATAACTATCATCGACCCGCTCGTGCCTAAGTTCGGAACGTTGGAGAGGAAAATCAAGTATCAGGATAACGGAAGTGTGTTCATCAAAGGATTTGGAAGTGTCTTCAGGAGGAACAACATGAAGACTACTGATAAGATGATATGCGAGGTGAAGAAGAATGCTAATGATGTTGCTAACATACTCAAGGTCTACATTGTCAGGGGATGATGATCTCTCTCGGTTTATGTCGTTTTGTGAGTCTTAGCTTGGCTTGTGTTTTGTGTTTTATCACCATAATATGTAAGGATGCTACTAGGATTTGGTTTCATTAAGGCTATGGATTGTGTTGTGACTTTTGAAACATGTTTTCAACTTAACTATTGGTTAAAGACGTTTTCTACATCAGAGTTCATGAATCTCTTCAAAATCTCTCTGTTTTTAAAAGCCATGTTGATGTTGTCTTGCTACCTGCAACTATATTGTGTCTTGTGTTGTTTGGTTCTGCTAGTTTTGTGTGGATGCGACGAGTTAGGAAAAGTCTCACTCACAGTATATTCATACAAATAGATAGCATTGAGTTTGAACACGGTTATCAATCTCAGAGACATCATAGTACTATGACAAATGGGGTGGGTTTGGGTTTCTATTTTGTAATTACCCCCTGGGGCTTTATGTTACAAATCAAAAGAAGAATGAGAAGCCAACAATGGCAAATATATATCTTAGGGATTGGCAAGTTCAAGTTGCTCCAACTTTCAGCCATGTTTGGAACCTGCACGTTCACGTAAGAAGAATGTTGTTACTTACAATTTTATATGATTTTCAAAAACCTATTGACAGAAGAATAGAAGACACGAGGAGAATATTGCTACAAAACTATGTTTTATTCTTCTGTTCACTAAACATGTCTCATTCTCCTTTCAAGTTTAACCTATCAAGATTCATACTACTAAGAGCATTCTCAAACTTTATAGGGCTCTACCACCAAATTTGGGTCTCTTTTTTCTTCTGGATTGTAAGCGAAACGTATCAAACATGATGAGTAAACTGCAGCAAAAGATGAGGCGAATGATATTTGCTTCCTAGAAACTCTTACCTTCAGTTTGGTGGAGGAATCAAGAATCTATGGTGGTGGTTGTGAGCGGTTAATGTCATGGTGGTGGTCTTGGTGTTGAGATGCGTACTCAGATGGGTGAATGAGATAGAGACCGGGCATATTTAGATTGAGGAAGGGATGAGTAGGATGAAGAAGGCGGGTGTGTAGATGAGTGTGAGAATCCTGATGATGCTGCATTTGAGAGCAGTGGCGATGCTGTAGCTGTTGTGGACGTTCCACCACTGGGCTGATCTTGCGTTTGCCATGTCCTGGCTGGGAAGCTTTGGGTAGACAATGACATAAAACCTTTTCCTGGTTCTCTTTCCTGTTCAAAGTATTCAATTGATCAAATATCACAACTGTAACCACAAGTGGAGCAAAGTTTGCTAAGTTTTAAAACTCTTATTTTATATGGTGTTCTAGTTCAGGACAGCTGTAACAGAAGATTATGCAAGCTGTAGATGCGTTACAGTGACACACCAGTTGGACATTAAGATATTTGTGCTATGGTATGTACCATGGGTGAAAAGAAGGCAGAAGGATGGACATGCCGGTTAATAAGGTGGTCTGAACCCCTCTTCAAGAAATTGAAAGGTGCATCACAAGTCGCTGCAGCCATGTGGTTCTCCATCTGAGAATACAGATGAAATGGAAGAGTAAGAAACTCATGAACCAAGGAAGAACCATGAGATCTAGAGTTAGTTAATGGGAAAAATAGCTTTGAGTAGCAGACTGCGATGTGATATGGACAAAGAAACATTTGACTAACGGTTGCAGCAAACACATAGTAAAGCAAAAACTCATATTTGGTGAACTACAGAGAAAAAAAAATGCACCTTGGAGTTCCTTCCACATACGATATTGTTAAGGTTTTGCTTTGGACTATCTCCCAGTGAAAGAGAGATTCCCAAATGGAGGTCGAGCTTAGCATTAGCTATATATGGAAATTAAAAAACAAGTTAACAAGTTAGTACTAGCTGCACACACACTGAGAAGAAATATCAAGGATGGCAGCAAAACCTGCACAGCATCGACCAGTTGAACAAGCAAGGAACCGAGCATCAATTACATTACCTGTCTCCGGAATAATCCGGGATGAATGAGGCTCGATTAAAGAAGCAGCCTCCCTTCCATTCCATTTCAGGGCTGTCGCTTTGTCATAAGCCCTGATTCCATAAGAAGAATGAGCAGTTAGTCTTGCAAGATTTCCAAATAGATAAATCAAGATGAAAGACACCATCTTATTTTCAGTTTACGATCACTAAGAACATTCAGCTTATACTCAGATGACAAACACCCCAAGATAACTAATAACTGTATCATAGGCATTCTGGATATATCTCATTATCACAAAGTGTTTCCTACTGAAGGACTAACAGAAATATGTTAACATGAGATAACCAACTGTTTATCTAAGGCAATTTACTATACTTAGCAATGACTGCAAGCACATTCAGACAAAACATTAGATCCCTAGAGAAGTTGATTACGTACATGCTTCCATTTAACTGCTCCATTTGAGCTCCCCACCCGCCAATCTTCTGTAACGCAACTCCTTGATATCTTGAATTATTCCTAGAGAAACCAGAGCTCTGACGCCGGAGTACTTGCACAACTTCCTCTTTAGATAGATTCGCCATCTGTAAAGTTCAAAAACCAGGTAAGAACACATCAAAGCATGCATGCCTTCATTACATTTTCAACATCTGTAATCAAAACCTGCTTGAGATCCTCTTCATAATCACCGATAACGAAATTGATATCAGCCTCCAAACCCCTGAACTTGACAGCAGCTCGATCATACGCCCTGCACCAAAGGATGTTGAAAGATAAACTTATGACTGAAACACCCATTTTATTGTACCAAAAGCAGAAGCAGTTGAGACATCAATAAGATCATACAAAACAACATATATTAGCAAATGCATTATTACCTAGCTGCAGCATGGGCAGTGTCAAATCCACCTGTTAAATTCAAAAGAGTGAAACTTCATTAGACTAAAGAGCAAAGAACACCGAACAAATCAAGCTGACGGTGGTAAAACTGATAGAATCCATACCTAAATAAACTTGTTTACCGCAATCCCTGCAACAAGAAAAATTAACAAAAGCAAAAAGATTACTAAAAGATGATCTAAAATCTCTTGTCACGAGGAACACATCAACAACAACAACAACAACTCATCCTCTAATCAAAGAGAAGCAGCTTTACCAGATATGCGACTCCCATCTGCCTGTCCTCCTATAAAAAGTAACACCTCTATACTGCGAACTCTTAGACCTAGGCCCTCTCCTACTCTTCTTCACCGGCTGTGCTGGTGGCTGCATCCCCCTCGCAGCCTCTCCACCAAGAAAGTCACCCCCTTGATTCCCTCTCTGAAAAGAAATATCAACAGAGCTCCTCGAACTCTGCCCACTCAAATCCACAAAACTCACACCATCTCCATCCCCACCTTTAGCAACAGGAAAGAACTCCTTAGTCATCATCACATCTTCTTCTCTCCCTCCTCCTCCTCCCTTCAGTATCTCAAACTGAAACTTCACTGCAGGTGTCGAACACATCTCCTCTTCACCATCGATACAACTGGAAGCTTCAGCATTGACTAGAGAAGAGTTCGACGTCACTGATTCATCCATCTGATTCACAACAGCACCGGAAACCTCGTCGAGATTGAGATCCAGCATCAATCTCAAAAAAAAAAGTCAACGAAAAAGCTTAAAGAAACCTTTGAGAGATTTCACAACTAACTGACCGTCAAATCCTTTTTTTTTTTACAACAATTACGATTAAACCTATATCAACACTAATCCAATCGATCTTCCTCGATTTTGAAAATGAAACAGAGATCGGAAAAATAAAATCACATTACTTAGGTCAAAAACTCTGGAGAATCAGACGGAGATTAGATTCTGGAGATTAAATAAAAAACACGGCCTGGAATTAACGGCGGATGATTTAGTGATTTACAGATGACGAAGAATTGATTTTAAGGAGACATGGCGATGATGAGAGTTTGGAAGAGAAAGGCGGAAGAGGCTTCTTTCGCCGGAGGAAGAAGAGATTATCGTTCTCTCGTCGGGAATGATGGGACTCGTAAGCCGTGGTTAGTGGCAACATAACATATAAATATTATTATTCGCTTCCATCTTTCTCGGCTATTGGATACCGGTTTTCCCGGTTCCCGGTTTCCATGGGGTAAATAAAAGTGCCAACGTGCTACTCGTTTTGTTTGTGTTTAAACATCATGGGGTAGAATTTAAATTTAGTGTAATTAAGAAACTGAAGCGTGATTTTCTAGCTTTAACTCACTGCACTAAAAACTAGTAGTAGTAAATGTGTGTTTAGCTTTTTCTTTTGTAACGAACCAAAGGAAGTCATTAATTAGTAGTAATTGCTAGTTATCACAAAAATCGAAAAACAAGTAACGAATCTAGTCGTTCATAACTTTGAACATGTTTTCATTTATTAGCGGGGCCTATATCTGCAGATATGTCCTTCTCACCAAAAAGAAATGTCTCATGATTATTGATTTAAATAGATCTCAACTAATGTAAGAAAATTAGCTATATAAACTAAAAATAACCACATGCGCTCTCATGTGAACTAAATTCTTTTTAAAATGTGATTATCTCAAAAAAATGTACATATCATCTAGTTGATATTTCTAGTGTATATTAGTAATTCTTTTTAAAATGTGAATATGTAAATTGTGGTATATTTTTCACTGACAGTAAAATTTCAGCAGTGCTTTGTACAAAATGTCTTTAAGAATCTAATGATCTATCAAGTTTACAGAAAATCACATATACATTTCCCCTTCAAGTTATACAACGATGCCATTGGTCAGATACACTTTAACTTTTTGTTTGCTAAAAAAAACGACAAACTAATGGAAGATAAGCCATATGAAATGTAATTCTCATTTAATCGTATGGCTTAAGTCTAGCAGCTTGAAAGTAGTGTGAAACAAGAGATTAAAGAAACGAAGAAACTGCAGGTAGGGTTTACAAGGGTAACCATAAAGTGAAACAAAATACTTCACATAATTAGACGCATTCATTCATCTTTTGCAGAGCGACATGCTTAGCTACTCATCTACTAGGCAGGGAGAAGTAGTTAGGTAAAAGCTTCGCTCAGTTTTTACATGGACAGGGCTTTGGCGCCTTAATGCATCGAGAGTTCGAGCTCAGGTTTACAGTACAAAAATGAAAATGACCTCAACAAATATCTTTGCTTGTGTCCAGACGAATCTCTTTTTTCTTTCTGAATGTTTATTATAGTGGGGTAGGTCAAATGATAATGTCGACTGCTTTAGCCGGTTGCCAAAAGTGGAATGTCAGAAAAATCTCGAAGATCATGAATCTTAACGAATAAAATGCTGTCACGTGTACAACAGAGATTGCGCCCCAGCCATTTCTCAGGTCAAAGTCTTCCTCATCTGTCTATCTGATCTGACGGCCCATGTCCGTTTTTCCTTTCCTGAAATTTTGGAATTTTTCATTATTTTTTCTGTTAAGATGTCTACGTTTTTTTTTTAAATAATTAGTTATATAGTTTCATTTTCATTCCATTTCTTTATTTATACATCTGTCACGATCTGCATACTTTGTTTTTGCGTAATTGTCAAACTCATATTGGTTTTTTGGGAGTCACAGGCGGATTATGCATTTAGATTTTACTTTAATTATAATATTATAGTTACATTGAGATTTAACATATATGTTGGTATACTGGTGATAGCAATATGTTGGACATAACCCATCAGTAAAGATTATGAAGAAATTATAAAAATAACAGAAAATTAATGTTTAATATATAATTCTTTAGTCTTTCTCGAAAAAATATCTTTCGTCAAAATTTCGAATCAAATGTAAAACAATTTAAACTAATGGTAGTACTCTTACCTCTCTACAGCTACGGTGTTGAATCGCCAATGTCTTGCCAACTCTGTACAATTTCTTCTTAACTATTACCAGCTTCGTACTGTTTTTCTTAATAGTGTTCTCAGGACACGTACATATTGTGCCGTGTTGATATCAATAATTTTTTTATTTGTGGACTATAATAAAAACAATGTTAAGGTATATCTGAAATTTACATTATTAAAATAAAATTAATATTAAAATGTCCTTCGTTTGGTATTTTAAAATCATATGTTATTGTATCATTTTCATGTTGCTGTCATTTTCGTAAGAAAGATTATCATTCGTATTTTACCAAAAAAAAAGATTATCATTCGTATCTTGAAATTATAATATGTTTTTTGCTTATTATAATATGTTAATCATTCATACTATTAGGTAGACGAGGTTGAGTTGAAAGACGTGGACACCGTCCTACCCGTTAAAGGAAAGTGTTTTTTCTTCTTTGACAAGCTCTCCATACCTAATATATATCATAGATAATGTTATCATGCCTGCCCACAAAGTCCAAAACCACATGGTTACTATATTGAGGTTGAGCAATTATTTGAAGAAAATAAATATTGCTTTTGGTACGATGTGACAGGGGAAGAACAAGTTGGCCATTAATTGGTTCGATCATTAATTTCAGAGCTTGCCATGTTGATACTACTTGATACGATATGACAGAGCTTGCCATAATATACACTTTTACACATGTTGAATCAAAATGTAATGTATATGAGGAATTGCCACTTATATTTTCTATATATAAGTTTATACCATAATAGAGACATCTTTTTTCTTTTTTTCTTTTTTGATTTTGAGATCTCTCCAAGTAGAAAAAGGGATTTCAAGCATGGGTCCGAGATCCATGAGCATATGTTTACAAATTTAACATCCATACAATGAACAGAAAACGATTATAATCATAAATCACTAATAGAACGAGAGAAGAGAAGATGGTAGGTAGCATCGAGATCTTGGGTTTCGTGATTCCGTTTAGCTAGAGACTAGAGACATTATAAACCATCCACATACACTAGTCTCTTTATACTTAACCATCTGAACATCACAAATAGTGCACACACATTCTTCCCTTGTCGATGAATAGCATGCGTCGTGCTAACGTGGGAACCAGATTTTCTGTGTCCGAAGATGTTTCGATGCTACTGCGTGTGCGATCCGATGAAGAGAAGCTGTTTGGAGTGTATAAGATGGATGACGGAAAGTGGAAGAAAGTGTGTTCTACTCTTCTTTGGGGGAAGAAGAAGCTCTGGTCTGGGATTCAAGAAAGACTATATATTGCTGTTACTAATAAGTTTCGTCTTTGTGATGTCTCTACTTAGAATATCCAACCATTTGAGTACCTTCTTGGAGATGCTCGCTGGTTCCTTCCTTGACTTAGCTATGATCCCTGGCAGCGTAAATTTCTTTTGTTATTCGGAAAAACAATCTGAAATAGATTGAGATCTTTATTTAAGCTACGACGAGGTCATTTCATACTTCCACACATTTTCTTTTTAAATTGTTGGATCAGTTATGCTAGTTTAGAGTAAATTTAGTTGGCTACGACAAGTGTATTGCTTATAAGAATGTTATTGGCTCAGATTAGGTCAATGATTATGGAAATTCAGCTGCTATTACTTTTGATGATTATAGTTATTTTTTTGTGTAAAATCTAAATTAGACCTGATGGAATTTGGTTTAAGTTAATTTGTTTGGTTTTGGAGTTTCATATTTTAAAGAAAATTGTCGGTGAATATTCATGTTTTCAAATTGTAACTCTTCTTCCACAAGCCTATCGGACAAGATAATAGTAATTTAAAATCTAACCTAACACATTATAATTTGAACAGTTTGACCATTGCAGATAGTTTGAAACAAAGACACAAATGAACATTCATGTTTTCAAAAATATAACTTTTCTTCAAGAAGTGATTCTTACAAACCATCAGCAATTACCACAAAAAAACAAACTAACCACATCAAATTTTGAGCAGTTTGAGCATTGTGTACAACTAGTTTTTGACAGACATACATAACTATTCTGGCCAGCTAGGTAACTTAATTAATAGTCGACTCCAAGATGTTTGCAATGTTGCTTCCGTGAGATCTACGCAAAAGGTGGAGAAAAGGCATCAGCTTCTCCACCAAACCCCTAAACATATCAACCCTATTCATCTCATTCGTGACTCTCAGTGCCTTGACCACCACGAAACTCCCAAACTCATTCCTCGCCAGCCTCATCAACCTGTCTCCCTCGCACTCCAAAAGCTCCACAACCACCACATCCATCGACATCTCCGTATCCAGAAGCTTCTCTACAATGTAGCTTCCATACTTCTTAAACGCCAGATCAACGCAATGGCCACGAAGACTCACCGCTACATTATGCGTGCAACGCAAGTCATACAGTTTAAGCACGTGTTGGACCACGAAGTTCCCTGAAGGATCGTTGCTTAGGTAGAGAGCGTTGCGCGCGACTACTTCTAGTAGAAGATTTCTGTAGAAAGGATCATCAGCGTCGGTTATGATCTCGTTGAGCGCGATGCAGCCGTACTGATTACACGCGATGTCGAGCGCGTGGTGGAGAAGGTGCTCGTACATCACATACTTCTTCTTCTGGTCGAAAACTAGCATAGCTCGCATCGCCACGTAGGATGCGTACTTATCGGTGATGATATGGAAGAACCGGCGCAAGAGAGCCGCGTAGAAGAAAGCGTCCACGTCATCTGATATTCCTAAGAGTTTTTGCACGCGTCTGGATCCGTAAATGTTTCTGACGATCTTCGTGAAGTAATCGGAGTCTGACGTAAGCAACGACACCATCATGTGAAGCTCTTTTCGGTCAGACTTTGAGATAATGTCTTTAAACTGTGCCAAACCTTCGCCACTAGTCATAACGCTGAACAGAGAATTTAAGCGGGAGTTAGCTACGGTGGCGCGTGGGGCGAAACCAGGAGGAGGAATGTAACCGGAGATTCCTTTAGAGAAAGGGATATGTTGTAATGCATCAGACATTGTCGACATGGAAAACGAACTATTATCTGCTATTGCCATTGTAACAGAAAATTTTAATCTTATAGTCTTTGTTATTTTGGAGAAGTGTTTGATTTTGAATGATTATTGGATCCATGGGGGTAGTGATATATTTATACTAGTCACACTTGGGAAAAAAGGAAAGTTTTGAAAAACAAGAAATTATCTGTAATTTCCTTTTTTTCCTCACTTTCCGTAACCATAATGAAATTAATTACTTCCAAAATGGAAAGTCTCGGAAAATGGAATAAACGTCGTCGTTTTAACAACTCGCCAACGAACCTACAGTGAAAGATTCGGTTTAGTTGCAAAACCGAGATTTAGCTCTAAACATCTCTCATCAGGCTCCCAGCTTTTGATTTTGTCCACGTCACCAATCCGGAACTGCGCAAATCACAACACGCACATCGGGTCCCACGTTACACGTAAGCTGAATAGGCCACGTCAGCAACCCTCCAAAAAAATAAAAATATCTTCTCCCCTTTACCCAACTTGCGCTCAGAGTCTCTCAAGTCTCAATCTTTTGATCTTCTCTCTATCTTTTTTTCAGTATTCTAATAATAGTAGCAAAGTGGTTTCTGTATAGTTTTGGTAAAAAAGGAATAGTATTCAGATACGAATCAAACCTATTTATTGGATGATTAAAATGGTAATCAAACCAGATTAAGCACTGTGAAACACAAAAGTATGCTCTTTCTCGTGATATTTGATTTTTGAAGTCAGATATGGTGAGAGATTCTGGTGGTTGTGGTGTTTTTCATCTATGGATAAGCTTTAAGTCACAAAGGTTTGATTTTTTATTTATTTTTTGGTTGCTTTTACAATCTGCTGGTGTTATAGCTTATAGTTTTGATTTTCTATCTGGTTTCTGAGGAATCTGGAGGAACTTTGAGAAACTAGGAGATCCAAGATCTGAGATAGAAGAGAGTGTTCAGTGTTTCTGAGAAAAAAAAAAGATTTGAACTTTTGTTAGATTTCTTCGTAGCTTCTGATTTGAGAGGACCAAACTAGTTATTGTGTTATGTTTTGTTTTCTTATTGGATTGAGGTTTTGGTGAAGGGATTAAAACAAGTTTGGGATAAAGAAAGAAATGTGCAAGTGTTATGTCATAGTAGATGGGAAGTTTCTGCAGAATCTCAGACGTTATTTGATGCTGCTTCTGTTCTATCTTGTTCACGGAGGCTGGTCTTGACGAGAAGTTCACTATTAATAACCAATGTGTTTCAATAAGAACGATATGACAAATGAAACAGAGAGGCAAGCGTTTGGTTCTTCTGAAGAAGATGGATCTCGAGTTGAAGATACAGCTGGAAATGCCAACAATTTATTACAGATTACTCAACAACAACATCAACAACAACAACAAACGCTAGCTCCTGTTGTTAACTGGGAGAGATATCTGCCCGTTAGATCGCTTAAGGTTCTTCTGGTGGAGAATGATGACTCAACTCGCCATATTGTTACTGCTCTTTTGAAGAATTGCAGCTACGAAGGTATTTCTAGTTGAATTTCCTTTTTTTTCAGCAATCATATTGTTGGTTTTAACCAATACTTGGAAACTCTGTGTCAGTTACGGCTGTTCCGGATGTCCTTGAAGCCTGGAGAGTCCTAGAAGACGAAAACAGTTGCATCGACCTAGTCTTAACGGAGGTTGTTATGCCTGTGAACTCTGGAACCGGTCTTTTGTCCAAGATTATGAGCCATAACACACTTAAGAACATCCCTGTCATAAGTATTTACTTAAATCCTCATTATATTGGCCTGAACTAGTTTCAGTATATGTGATGATCATTTCGACGTTTTGTAGTGATGTCATCTCATGATTCCATGGTTCTGGTATTCAAGTGTTTATCGAACGGTGCTGTTGATTTCCTCGTGAAACCTATTAGAAAGAACGAGCTGAAGAATCTTTGGCAGCATGTCTGGAGAAGATGCCATAGTGTAAGAGTTACTGCTTTGATTACTTACAAAAGTTACTCTGTGCTTTTTTATTTATCTTACTTATGAGTTTCTTGATATACTAGTCTAGCGGTAGCGGGAGTGAGAGTGGGATACATGACAAGAAGTCAGTGAAAACTGAAAGCACTGAAGGGTCAGAAGACGATGCTAGCATGAGTGATGAAGATCACGGGAATGATAATGGGAGTAATGGATTGAGTAACGGAGATGGTGGGAGTGATAACGGGAGTGGAACTCAGGTAATCCTGTTTCTAGAGCGTTAGATTATAACAATATCTGAGGGAATCTCTTTGTGATTTTGTTATTGGTTTTGCATTATGAAATTAGAGCTCTTGGACCAAAAGAGCCAGTGATATTAACACCTCCGCTTCATACCAAATGCCTGATGCACCTAATGTGAACGTGGGAGCCTTTGGAAATGAATTGGAACGTCTTAAGAAACTGAAAGAGGTTGACGATGATAATGGCAAAATAGGTAAGAGGCAAACTCTAACCAATCCAAGATTCTCTCTGTTTTTCAAACTGATGCCTTTAGATGATGTTGCAATAGGCACGGGATCGCAGGGAGGACAGTGTATGAGCAAGAAAGCTGAAGAATCAGGAAATCTGGATAGGGATGCTTTGGAGAGAAACAATGACGACTTGCTGAATCGCTCCTCTGGTAACTCACTAGTAGAAACTAAAAAACCTTCATCCAACCCTGAAGATTCGCAATCAGTCGAGCTAACTTTGACGAAACCAAGAGAGGCTGGAGATCAGAGAGTAGGTGATCGAAGTGTTCTGAGGCATTCTAATCACTCTGCATTCTCAAAGTAAGTTCTTGACCTCAACTGCTGAAGAAAGAGTATGTGAGTGTGATTTGAAACTGTTTCTTTGTTCTTTTGTGAAACGCAGATACAATAACGGTGCTACTTCTGCTAATAAGGTACATTTTCTACGATGCTTTTGTGTTGTTTTTCAAATCTATGCTGGTTTCATCAAAGGCTTTAAACTTTGCCGTGTAGGCTCAAGAAGAAAATGTGGGAAGTTGTTCTCCTCAAGACAGTTCCGTTGCCAAAATAATTGGTTCCAGTTCAAGCAGTGATAATCCTTCGAATCAGCAGTCTAGTGGAAGCGAAAGGGCCGCACAAAGAGAAGCTGCTTTGATGAAGTTTCGTCTTAAACGTAAAGAGCGATGCTTTGAGAAGAAGGTATATCTCTAAACAAGCTTTAAGCTCTCATTTCTTGGGAGGCACGAAAGCTATCTCATGTTTTTGTTTGTTCTGTTTTCAGGTAAGGTACCAAAGCAGGAAGAAACTAGCTGAGCAACGGCCTCGCGTCAAAGGTCAATTCATTCGCAAGTATGATTCTCCCTCCCTCTTTCTCAAAGTTTCTGAATATACAAAAAGATTACTAGTACTCACAGGAAGTTGTTTGCCTTTAGAATGGATGATTCTAAATCAGGAAATGAGTGTCCCAGTAGTGACGACAGTTGAAAGAAAATTGGTTTTGAATAGAGAGATTCGCTTCAAAGATCTGAAGAACAAAAGAAGATTCGGCAAAGTGTCAGTGTATAACAGAGTCTCTTTGGTGGCCTTTTTGGATTCTATGATTATGTTTTTAAATTTATCTTTTTTCCATCTTGTTTGTTAAGAGTCTTTTTGGCAACTCTTTTTAGTAAGAGTACTCTATAAACATAATTACCACAAGAACAATAAATTAAAAGGGGCATTCTCATAAACGACTGAAGAAGTATTTTTGTGCTATTTTAGAATAGTCTTGTTTAAATCTTGTGTTTTATCTTTTTAAAACTATTTATCCACTTAAAAACTTTATTTTTCGCCTGATAGTATATTCGAGACTAAAAAGGATTTTCTCATGAATTTAATTTGTGTATTCATTTAATTTTCTGATAATTTTTACCAAAAAATGATCCATATATAAAGCCGCTCTATAAGAGAACTCCAGCGAGATCTTTTAGTGTTCGTCACCCCCTCTCTCTCTAGAGGTCTTGTGTTGTTTTACAGGAGCAAACTCGAGTCAAGTAATGGTAGACTCACAAGAATCATCGGAATCAATGGATTCGTCCGGGACTATCAACGGCCAGGACGGCGATTTAGATGAACAAGACCCATTTGACAGTAACGAGTTCCTCAACCACGCATGGCTCTACAATATCAAAATCTCAGACAATCTTTATCCTCAAGGTTCCCTTTTTTGTTTCTCTTTTCTTTCTTCAGTCTTTTTGAAATCGGAATTCTTGTGCCACAAGCATCTGTTTCTTAAAGGGTTTAGCTTCTTACGCTACACATTCCTGCAAGTTAATCGTATTAGAGTTGTTCTTGTATTCAGAAAAGTCTGGATCTTGCCACAAGAGAGTGAAGCCAATCTCGTTTGCTGATTTCTTGTACCACAAGCACATTAATTTTTAGGGTTCTTGTTTATCGTTATCTTTCTTTCTTTAACTTCAAGTAACTCATTTGCAGATACGAATCCTCATCCGATATCTCCACCTGCACTTACTCACTTTACGTTTCGATGGCAAGAGATCTTAGACGGAACCCAAAACCTCCAAAACACTAACTTGCTCGGTCGAGATTTGATAAGGTTTAAAGTCTCCTCCTTTATGTTCCAAATTCGAAACCCTAGTTGCTAAATTTAGTAACTTTCTTTCCTTCTTTCAACTAATTAGGTCGGAGCTGCAAAGATTCTAGATTTACAAGACGGAGAAGCTCACCCTGAGTTCGTGGCAGAGATCAAAGCCTTACACAGAGCTTATCACCCAAATGTAATCAAACTTCTCGGCAAATGTGTCAACCGTGAACACTGTGTCATCGTCCACGAGTTCATGCCAAAAGGCTCTCTCAATCACTACCTCTTTGGTAATAAAAAAAGTTATAGTATTTTTAAGTATAAAACCAACTCTCTTGTTTACTTAACCATTCTCTTGTCTGTACCAGCTGACACAAGGCCGGACCGGGTTGTACACCAGGACTATCCGGTTTTGGATTGGGACACAAGGATGAGAATCGCAGTGGGTGTAGCTGAAGCTCTGGTTTATGTACATGATGAGTTGAAGATGATTCACGGAGATGTTAGGGCTTCAAAGGTTTTACTAGATGAGGACTTTATGCCGAAGCTGAGTGGTTTTGGATTGGCGACTAGGATCGTTGAGAATGAGCATGGCGTTGAGCAGCAGAGCGAGATCGATAGGGTCAAGGGAAGTATGGCACCGGAAACAGAGAGGTTCGGTTTGGTTTCGAGCAAGTCTGATGTATACAGCTATGGAGTTTTCCTGTTGACGCTTTTCACTGGAAGGAAAGAGTTTGATCTTGAGAAACTTGGTTGGGCAAGGAAACACATTAGTTGGGTACGTATGACTCAAGAAAACATTTTGAGTCTAGGGTTTTAGTTCCTTTTTTTGATACGTAACGTGTGCTGAAAGTATAACATATGAATTTGGGGTGTGTTGCAGTTAGTGCCAGTGTTGAGCAGAGAAGAGTGTATGCCTGTGGTTGTTGACGTTGGGTTGGCTAAAAGGTTTTCGGTTGAAGGTTTGGTGAGATTATTTCGTGTGGCGAGGATGTGTATGGAGAAAGAGGTAGTTGCGAGGCCTGATATGCGGTTAGTGGAGTTGATGGTTCGTCAAGCTGAAGATTATGAGGTCATAGAGTTGCCCCCAGTGACCAGGAGATGTTCGATATAGAGGAAGTTTCATTAAGCGATTTTGTATAGGCTGCTTTTTTTTTTTTGGTTTTCACGAAAAAACATATACATGGATGTGTAACTGGTTCTATGGTTTGAGATGAGATCATGGTATGAACTTTTGAGACAATGCCATCTTACCTTTTGCCTTGAATTCTCTGTTATTATGAAAGTTCTTACCTTTTCCCCCTTTAACAAAATAAAGGAAATGGAAACAAATAAAACAATATGAAATATTTGATTTTTGGTTTTAATAGTATACATTATCTGTTTTGGTAGTGTGATATTACCCTCTTTACCGTTACTCTGTTTGGAAGATTATTGAATGCGAAGTTGCAACTTTGAAGTAATGTTAAGACTTTGGATCTTGAAGATGTCCCTCCCGTGAAGGGTGTGAGAACTTGTGAAACTCGTTTTTTGCTTTTTTTTTCCCTTACAGATATAGGTGTTGTATCATTGTTAACATGGACCATCTGATTCAAATGGTTTCTTGTATTATCTTCAACAGATTTTGTTACTTAGATTGTGATAGTAAACTATAAATGGTAAGCCCGAATTTCGCAAATTAAATTGTGTATATATATTAACTTAGCATAGTATTACATTACATGGATCTTACACTTACAGAAAACAGAGCGTTGCAACAGTAAATAATTGACCTCATGTCAAATTATTAAACAAGAATTGACCTCATGTCAAAAGATAAATGGCCGGAGAAAAAATGTTTGAAGCTTGGAAGAGAGAAGAGACAAGAAACAAAAAAAGGACTTGAATTATCAGCATTTGGGCAAATCAGCAGGAGGAGGAAGAAGTTTCTGATCAGGCTTATCTCCATCCAGAACAAGCCAAGCCATCCTCAAACCCCAACTCGTATGTACTTCCAAGTGACAGTGCATGAACCACACTCCTGTCCAAACATTTTGTAAATTTAGTTATAGCTTTCATATGAGATTAAACTAACTAAAACTCTATTTCTTTGGTTTATAACAGTTTCTCTTACCTGGGTTATCTGCTAAGAATCGAATAGCAGCCCATCCACCAGATGGCACACCCACTGTATTCCTCTCAATCGGGTCAACAAGGTTGAAGTTCTTAGGATCCTTGTTCGGATCAAAGTTCCCAAACCCTTGGCCGACCACAAAGAAGTTAAACCCGTGAAGATGAAGAGGATGGCTCTCTGCACCAAGAATGCTAGTGTCCTGCATCACCAGCTCTACGCTTGTGTTATAACGTAGAACCATCAAGTTTGTCCCTGTGCTAACCATTGTGTTGTTAGGTGGAGTGCCTGTGTAGTTAAACGGAACAATAGGATTCCATGGGAAGTTTGAAGAATACACTCCTTGAGATTTGCCAGAATAGTGAGATTGAAGGAGAGCCTTTGTTGGCATTGTGAATGAGATGTTGCTGATTGATGCAGCAAACATTGTTGTGTTAGTAGGACCCTGGCATGTCTGGTTGTTCTTATGATTGCACGGAGTTGTTCCCAATCCCACCGTGAAAAAGAACTTCCTATCAACCTTCAGAGGCACGTTCGCCGGGTATTTCTTGCTGTTCAAGCTTCTCAGCTTATTACTAAACTTGGTAGCAAAGTTTGTATCGTTTAGAGCAGGAAGTTTTGGTGTGAAGAGGTGAAGATTCTTGATAGAGGTCTTAACATGTTTAGGTTGTTCATATTCTAAGATTCCTGCCACTGTAGAGTTATCAAAAGTTCCTTGACCTGTGACATATGGTCTAGCAGTCATGAAGAAAGAGGCATTCGGGTAACTTGGTTTGGTTTTCAGCAGGAGGTTTGTGGTCTGTCCTGGAGCAATTAAGATGGTATCCGTCTCAAATGGCTTGACGTAGATCGCATCAGCTTCAACGACTGTGACCGTGTGGTTTGCAATGCTGAAAAAGAGCTCGTCGTTAAGTGCAGCATTGATTAGCCTTAGAAGGTATGTTTTTCCTGGCTTCACTCTCAGTCTGAATGTATCTGTTTTTAACATCATTGGTTAATACATATCATATTCTTGTCAAACCATAAGTAGTTGTAGGAATCAACAGTTAACCTTTAGCCGAGCAGTTGTATAATGGACCAGGAAGACCGTTGATCGTGTAAGCATCAGAGACATTAGGACCACCTCCTGTTTGTGTTGCTTGGCGAATGATTGCCTCAGTGTCTGCGTTGAACCACTCACCAAAGATCATGGGAACTTCTTTGTGAGGTTTGGGGAAAGGGTAAGGAACACCGCGTTTGGGAAGAATGATAATAGGACCATAGACTGTTGCCCTTAGCCATGAGATGTGAGCATGGTAAAACAGAGTGCCTCTTTGGCCAACAATGGTGTAGTTGTAGACATAGCTTTGTCCTGTCTGAATAGGACATTGGGTTATGTAAGCTGGTCCATCAGCCCAACCAGACCGTAATTGCCTGATCCCATGCCTGAGGATTAAACCCAAGTGTTAGTTATCAAACATTGCTCTTAATAGTGCTAAAAGTCTTTTTAAAGATTATTATTACCAGTGGATAGAGATATTGTTTGTGACATGGTTAACAACTTTTATCAGAAGCTGGTCACCTTCTCTAGCAATAAGTTTAGGCCCTGGAAACTGCCCGTTTACTGAAACAAGGGTCTTCGTGTGGCAAAGACGTGTCACGTTATGCATTTTGATCTGTGAAAAAAATGAATCATCATATAATCATTTGCAAGCTTTCATATACAACCTCAACATTTACTCAGAATGAATTAAGTTTTCACATACGTCCAGTGTATAATGCCTTGTAATCCCAAATGCAGGATCAGGAAGAAGAAGAACACAAGAGAAAACAACAAAGAGAAGCCAAACCGCCATTTCTTTTTTATATATAAGCGAGCTGAGACCTTGAGGCGTTGATTAAAGCTGGTACGGTTACTGAATGCTTCTGACTCTGTTATTATATCTCTGCTTTGTTTTTGCTGTAGGATTGTGTATTCATTGTTTCAACATTTAGTGTATATATAGAAAGGAGAGTTAGGTGTTTGCTTGAGCAGGAGATATTGAAGAAAAATATTTTGTAGTTGTTTATGTAGAAACAAAAAGATAAATGGTAGAGAAGTTTGTGTAATTGGAGACTCTTGATATCGACTAGTTGTTAGAACATATATATGAACAGCGTATAAATGAGTGGTGTCAAAGATAAGACAAACTCTTTGACCGTCTTTATCCCTCAAAATCTATATTCGAGATTATGGCGTAGATTCTAAATATGATATGCAAAGTTGCAAGTCGTAGTTTCTCAGATATGATAGTTCCTTTTCCTCTTCTGCTTTGAGTATTCTAAACTTCAGATTTTGACATGAGAAAGTAAGTAACTCGGACCAAATGTGGAAGTTAATATGGTTTGTGATATAGTCTTTGGCTAAGTGTTGTTTATTTACCGACAAAAACAACTCTTGATCGACCTAAAGTTTCTTTGAAAACAAATTCTTGGGAACTTCTAGAAGAATAACTTCTATGGTTAAAGGTTATGGTTTACGAAATGGGGATTTCATCATTCCATAAACATGTTAAGTGATAACTACTTCATCTGTTTAGTAATTATTTAATTTTGTTTTGCAGGTGGGAACTTTTTAAGAAGATTAACCGATGTGGAGTTAATCAAAACTCAAAACATTCGTATGCTAAAATTGCTTGGGAAATAAGCAAAGAGAGGGAGATTGTAGCTATCAGAGAAGGTCATGATAAGGGTTAGATGTCAAAATCCATGAAGGCTATTGTCAACATGTCTGGAATACAAAGGTTACTAACTTGTTTTTAAGTTCGTATCCTCAAACAAAAGTTCGCAATTTTATTTCCCAAGCAAGTGACCTAACTTGTTTTTAAGTTCGTATCCTCAAAGGCATGCCACTTATACATGCTTTGCTATACACAAAATATTTTTTTTTTGCAATAATTATATAAGTTGTTCAAAAAAGCAATAATTTTATATAGGATTTGTTTGCTTGTTATCCGTCTTTCATATTTATAATCTTGATGAAATTTAAAGTCAATCTACAATCAAAATATGATGTGACAAGATTACTAACAAGTAGGTATCAGATTATCCCTAACTATCTGAAGTCTGTAATTAAAATATGGAGTATAGTTTTTTCTATAACAACGTTAATTCTAGAAAGGAAAGAAAACATTAAAGAAATTAGAAATTGATTAAGTGGTTGAAAGAAAAACTATCTGACACAACGGTGAATCACGAGTTCACATCATTAGTATGTAGTTCAAAATCATTAGTATGTCTTTAACAATATTTTAGTTGGTAACTCACAATCAGTAGTAGTAAATATAGTTATAGATATCTATTTAACTAGGCATGTTTATGTTCCATTGCATGAGAGCTTTATTTTAATACAGGGTTATTCCAGACATTATTTGAAAACGAAGTTCTAAAATTTCTTAATGATTTCCACTGTAGTTCTAAAACATACAAGAACTTGACCCGCACCCCCGTGCGGGTGTTTGATTTAACTTGTGTTTACCGTAAATTCATAAATCGTTGGTTTTTTACAAAAATTTTTTTTATGTTTTGTAATTTACATATAAAGTAAAATATATTATTTTATAATATAAATATGTAATAATAATTTTTATTTGTACATAGTAGTATATCATAAATTTTATAACTTGATGCAATTTGATGTAATCGTACTATTCATATACTAACATGTTGTTTTTGTTAATTTATTTTAAAATAAAACAACATACTAAAAATTATTATTTTTGAATTAGTTTTCTATGAATTATCATTAATTTTATGATATTTTTTCTTTAAATTGAACTCACACAATTTATATTTGACTAAATTAAATAAGGTAATATTATATTAAAATGATTTTATATAATGTATACTATATATTTCGGTTTGTGTTTTTATTTTCATCATAGAGAAAGAAAAATCATTAAAATTAATTAACTTAAACTGATTTTAAATGCAATGACATAATCTGTAAATAAAAAGAAATACAAAAGGAAAGTATTTAATTTATTGTAAATACAATGGCTAAATGTACAAATAAAAAAATACTTAATCTACTATCCATATTTCCAAACAATATTTCATTTATTTTGCTATCCTTATTTTCAAACAGTACCAAAATGTATTTCAGTTTTAATAATATAGATATGACTTTTTAGGTATTCACTTCAGACATCAAACAACGTCTATTTAGACACTAATACACATACCATCTAAATATCGATATTATGTTGAAACGTAATTAACCTGTGATTTAGAGTAATTATATGAATTAATTGTGTGAATAACAAATGAATACATATTAAATCACTTGGTGATCTCTACTAACAAGATGAAATGATTGGACTTGAACTTGGATATGATAAAAAAAAAATCGATTGACGGTTGACACTATATATCACTTAATATTTTCTCACGAAATAAATTAGCGAGTTTGATTAGAATAAAAATGTATTTGTACGGTTTTATGGTTTATTTTCACATATATATTTTTTTGTGAAAATGTTTTCATATATATTGTAGTTGCACCAACCCTTTCTAATTAAGACTCCAACAATATATATATAGTAAAATGTAAGCTGTAAGCACATATGTGTACACATATATTATATATATTCATAGTCGGCCTGAAATTTAGCAAGCTATAGGTAAAATTTTAAAATATTTAACAATGTTGTTTTACTAATGTAGAGACCTAATTTTTTTTTTGGAAATCCAAGCTATAGATTTTTTTTTCAAAAATTTTGGGGGGAGTTTGAGACAAATGTTTCAACATGCTTGGTTCAAAAAACACTCTCTTTAATAAATATATCCATATTCAAACTTCTATTTATTAACAGTTGACTGTAGTTGATTAATTAAGATTACCAAAAAAATGATGATTAATTAAGATGCTTTACCTTAAGCACCAAAGATTAGCCAATCCATAATAACGTCAAAAAGAAAAAAAAGTGGAGTACAAAATGTTTCACACATTTTCGTAAAAACATATTCCGCTTAGAATTTTTGTAATAACTAGTTTTAAATTGAAATGTCTTTGTATCGCTAGCTCGAGTCGAAACCCTCGATCTCTTTAACTTAACAAGATTGTCACAAGAGTAGTTAGTTTCTAAGCAATGGAATTTTCCTTATAGCAACACAATTGCATAATTGTTCGTTTTTGTAGTTCTATAAATCTTTTGGAGAATCGTACAGAATCCATGTTACTTCGAAAGATACATACTGTAATACTAATATCTCCATGGCCATGCGTACAAAACTACCTATTGCTTAACAAGGTGGACTCTCCATACACTTCGTTCTCATATTACCAACTCTACTCCACTTCCATTGCTTTATCTGCTAGCTAATTAACCACTTTCATTTTGTTTATAGTATATCAATAATTAGTTAAAAACAATTAATTAAAGATGGTGAACATTGATTAAATTATAATATTATTGTAGACAAGAAAAAAATTATAAATTATACATTAAAAACAATAATTTATACCATATATGTATTCTGACTAATTATCTATTATTTTAGCTGGCTTTAGATATAAGAGTTTTGATATTCAAATTATGGAATTCTGGCTATCATGTTTTTTCTTTTCAAATCAGGAGATAAGTCGGATCTTACGGCCCGACTAATCTTCTTAGGACCGGGGGTACACATGCAAGTTGCTTAATCCTTTTTCTCAGTTTGTCGAGCGCACACGAACCGGGTTCCTCTGGCACAAAATGCCTCTGATCCTTTCCAGTAGAGCCAGCTCATTCAGAGTAAACAATAAGTGCTGGGGGCTATCTTGTTACAATGTAGAGATGACACAATGATATGATACTATGTTAGTTATACGTACATATTCTAATATTTTCTTCTATATTACATTCACAATAGTTATAATATGCATGCAATGCACGCATTAAAACATAGTTATTTCTATATATATGATAAAGTTAAAAACATAGTTATTTTGGTTTTTATTAATATTAGTAGATTTCTGTACATTTATATCATGTCGATACTAGTTTGTAATTTAATAAAAGGATACACGTGAAAGTGGTGAAACATTAACGAAAGAAAAAAAAGAAGAGTGTTTATTTGTGAGATTTTTCTCATTATCCAAATTCTTACCCCAAAAAAAAAGAAAAAACAACACTTCCTCAAGTATGAAACGCTCAACGTGCGTATTATCGATCCCACACCCCTTGACGCATTATTCTTCAGACCACCTTTGTTCTTCTTGACGTTAATGTTTTCCGGCTATTTTGCCGAACTATCACCCATTGAATCTATCTCTACACTCTCTAACATCCATTTCATCGTATCCTCGCTAGGATTGTTGTTTTGCATTGTTTATCTCTCTGTACCTATAATTGATGGAAGAAGGAGATTTTATAATTATATCTTCTTTTCAACCAGATTAAGGTACTGATATTGTGTTCAGTTTATTTAGTTGGGAATGAATAGGCATGTAGAGATTACTAAAATAGGGAGTTGTAAGGAAAGCATCGTTTTAGGTCACACACAGACCAATCAAAGACCTATAAAACCTTTACAAAGCAAAAACAAAAAGTAACTGAAATAACTAACACCAAATCGAAAAGTAATGGAAGTGAAATATTACGACTTCGACCAATTCGATTTGATTGAGACCTTAATTGGGCTTTTTATAGGCCAATAAATTTTTCTGTGAGACCAGAAGAGTCTTAAGAAATTCTATTCGTAAGTGAATATCCAGCTATAAACCATGTCCCCTTCACTCCGTGAGCGTAGCGATTATACGACCAAGAAACAAAACAATATAACTGAAGGACGTATTGAATAACTTTAGGTTTAAGAAAAAAACAGATACATTACCATTTGTCAACAAACTTTTTCCATTGAAATCAAAATCGTGAACGCACTTATAAGAGCATCCACAACAAGAGTTCTTAAGGGAGAATACTTGGGAAAAATAAATAAATAATTAGTGGATTCCACAAAAAGTTAAGAATTTAATTTTTAAAATCTCTAAATAAGATTTTTTTTAGTGAATCTTTACACTATTTGCGGGTCCCCACAACACATACCGATCCACGATTGGTTA